TCGATGAAGATTTACAACCTCATCAACTGATTTACCATCACTCCATAATACTTTGCGTCTAACCTCACTATTACTTACCCGGTGGTTCGAACAGATGCGAGCAATATTTACTTTTTAATGGCTATTAATACTGACTGCAATTAGGTTGGATATGATTGCTATTGGAATATGCGCATCACCAATCCTCATGTGTAATCATTGACTTAACTCGCGTTTGTACATAATGGAATTAAATAAATCAAATGTGAGAATTGATGCTTGAATACAATTACTTTGTACGCTCAATGATCTGGACAGACAATCAGATGGACAAAGCGAAGAAATCGAAGAAAAAGGGGAACGAAGAGAAGAGCACGAAACGAAATGACGTGCGGTGAACATGGTGTGAGTCAACTCCATTTCATCAAGCGTTAATCAATAAAAATAAGTTACAGATATGAGATGAATAGAATGAAAATTTTATACACATACGTTTACATGAATACAGTCAAAGTTGATAAGCGAATACTTGACAAAGTCAAAATATGACTCAAGAAGAATGAATAAACTGGCTTATCCGGAAACCGGAATAAGCTATGTGGTCTTGACACAGTAGCCGACACTACAACTTACAACTTAATTATAAATTGAAAGCTGTTTTTCTTAGGCACACTACAGATTATCTCGTAACAAAGAATATAATGCTAATGTGAGATGGATATTAAATTGAAGAGAAAGATTGATATAGTTTGTTATCTTAAAATTCCTTTGGAAAGCTGTAACAGACAGAGATAGACAATATTTCATCAATGACATCATTTCAGCATTGATCAATACTTCAAGTTGATTGAAAAGTATCCATGTTTACTAACCGACGTAAAATTTCCGGGTTTTGATTCCCCGTCAAACTGTATTTACATATTGCTGTGAATTATTGGGCTATGACATAACAAGTTCTTTTCAAGCATTATTACTAAATATGATGTAATCACGTGGGTAACGTAATGAACATTCGTTGATTGAATCAACCAGAACTCATGTTTTATACATGTAAATTGAATATTTAAAAGTTAAATTCCTCAGTCAATATAAGCTAAACCACCATTAAAAACATAGAAGCACTGGATAGCCGTCTCGTTCTGGCAGTATGAGACTCCTCAACAGTGCACATCCACGATCCTGAACACAGGACTCGAACCGAGGACCTTCGTCTTTGAACGTGACTGCTTAACTGCGACTCATGAATTCAACTACTAAAATCACTACAATCTCCCAAAGGCCCCGTTCTCATAAAAATGCTTTAAAAGTAAGTGTATTTGATAAGATACATATGAATAGCTGGCGCGAGAAATGACCGTTGATCTAATATTTATATATAAATGTAAACATGTCAATATATGAACTATTTCTCTATAGTGATTAGAATACTAGAAATCAAGATTTTAATCCGAAAATGATCACAATTGCTTTTCTACATTAATTATTGTGAGATAATGGAGAAGATTTGTAGCTCAGATGGATAATTTTGATGAAGTTTTGTTCTTTAAGCTGGATGATTTGGTCAAACCAATGGAAGGTACAACCAAAAATAAAGTAAACAATGACAGATTAATGGTCAACAATAACCAATCAATAGCAAAGTCTAAAAGACAAGCTGTGAACCAAATGTGTAGAGGAATTCCAACACTTCACTTTTATCTGAAATTCGTGCTGCTGATGATGTCGTTCAGCCGAACAATGAGAACTCCATAACTAAACCATCCACTTCAGTGAACAAAACTCTATCGAAATTGTTTATTGTATCCTGTTATAACCAATTCACTTGGTGTTTAGAAAGTAATAATTATCATATCGGATAATTTTTTGTCGACTTATGTCATATTGTATTTCTTTTTACTGATCTGTATTTCATCAAAATAGAATTTACGATAAGCACCACATACAGACGTTTATTTTGTGCCTTCCATTTTAACTACTGAAAATTAATCAGTAGTTTCTAAAGTTCCACAGGTTGAAATCATGAGTCAACTGAAGCTAGACCACCATGGAAAACCTGGAAGCACTGGGAGGCCGTTACGTCCTGATATGGGACTCTTCATAAGTTCTCCACAAAACTCATTCTAATAATCAACTGCTCACTGATGACTGACTTCAGGAGAACCTCCTGGAGTTCTAGTGAGAAGCCGTAACCATTGGAGTTCAACCAGGTCTGTTGTGAGATAGTAACTCACTGAAGACAATGGTGAATGTGTCGCTCAATTTCCTGGATTAGTTGAAGTTATACATCAACACCAGCTCAGTGGTCTAGTGTTTCAGTGCTCGCGTGTGAGACCAATAGGTCCCGGGTTCGAACCCCGCGAGGCAGGGTTGTGGATGCGCACTTCTGCGGAGTCCCACCATAGGACGAAACGGCCGTCCAGTGCTTCCAGGTTTTCCATGGCGGTCTAGCTTCAATTGACTCATGATTTCGACCTGTGAAGTTTCTAAAGTTAACAGTCCTAAAACATCAATAGGAAGATTCAAATAAAATAATACCAAGTGAATTTAAACTTCATCTCATTGCACAAACATATAGTTATCAGGACTCAGTAGCTAAGTGGATAACGCGATGGCGTTTGAAGCGAACAGCACTGAGTTCGAGTCCCGGAGTGGACATCAACTCTGAGATGCAGATACATTCAGCTGACGAGTCCCAAACAGGGCGAAACGCGCGTCAAACTGCATTACACTGCTAGCCGCTATCCATTTTTGCTTTTAATGCTTGTAAATTAAGGCAATATCGAGGCATACACACAGTATGCTCGTATGCCAAAAAGAGACTGATCGATTTCAGTCCTAAAACATCAATGGGTAGATTCATGTAAAACAATACCAAGTGAGTTAACAGTAATTGTTTAGCATTTTAACTCACCACATTCCGCGTTATGGTCAGTGACTGACACTGCAACTGAGTTGTTCAGGCATCAAGTAACATTCTCTGTAAGACTGAGATTTGTACACCTATTGATCAGTATCATATTATCTTGTCATTAGTGATGTTGGAATATTCTAATTCAAGTTTAAATGTCACAGTACCAGTCAAGATAACATCATACTGTTATCATACTGAACTTCCAAATAGTGATAACCAACCATCGATCATTGTTCATTGGACTAAGTCCAACTAGCATGTGTAGACTGCCTTGTTGGAGTACAACTGATTATTGTTGACTAATGGTTGTAGACATTGAACGACATGATTCGGTCAGCATCGATCGCATTGAGCTACTCTTATATACTGAGTTTTAAAATTTACTTATACATTTTTGTTCCACGAATTCATTCATTCATTCCACATTCTCTTTCTTATTATCACTAATTCTTTTACAATGGGAAGATACAAGCAAACAACATCAAGTGACTTTTGTTACTAGTTTTGTAGTGTACACTAATACTTATGTCTACAAACTGAAAGTTCTAGGTTCGAGTCCCTCGTGCAGAATCGTGGATTCATACTCTGCTGAGGTGTCTTATACTATCAAGACGAAATAAGCATCCAGTGCTTCGGTATTTTAATGGTGTTTTAGCTTAGGTAAATAAATAAATCATAATAATTCTTAATCACATTGATAGACTTACCTAAAATAAAATATACCTTCTTCAAATGATACCAATATAAAATATGATTGAAAAAAATTTATGTATAAAGTGTATTATTCACAGATTAAATCTCTTCTTAATGATTGATTGATTGATCGATTGATTGATTGGTTAGTTGTTGTCAAGGTGAACGTATACTTGTACTACCTAAAAAGAAGAAAGAAACAGAGATTGATTTTATTTGTTAATCAGAGTATACTTTCATTGATTTGACTTAATATTGATCGAAAATGATTAGGGAAAGAGTAATTACGATGTTAAGGGAAGAATTCATCTTAGTGACCGATAGTGTAGTGAATAAGAATACCGGCGGGGACAATCGAATGTAGTTCATAACAGTATTACAGAATGACCATCAATGGTATCAAATTTGATTGTTCTTTCATCGTTTCCATACTAATCATTCTCCGTTCTCGTTCTTATCAATTTGATCTTCTTCATCTTCTACCAACTCCACGTGTAGCTCTTCTAGAGTTACTGCCGATCCCAAGACCGGGTAAAGGAAGGGGGTTGTGCATGGGGTTAGCGATACCATCTCGTAGAAACCTAACTTTCTAAAAAAACGCTAAACAGAAACATAATTCAAACCATTTAAATTCTACCCTGTGAGTTAGGAGGTCTTCGTTTAGAAAAATTATGACGCTTCCTGGTGAAAGCCGAGTTCCTTCGGAAGTCACGAGGCCGTTGCCCCCCTCCCCTTCATCTTCTACCATCAAACATTTCACTTTCGGTTGATGATACTTACTACTTATATCTGTCGATATCAGTAGCACACACCATAATATAACGGATGGATTAAAGTACTTTTTCACTCTCATTTATACTACTACAATAATACGTTGATATGATAATAAGACTAATCTTGTTATATCAGATTAAGGATTTACGACCCAGAAAATGGGACTAAAGTATAGACTAGAAAATACTTTATTCAATACAATGACAACCATTTACTCTTAGTGAGTCCACTGTAGAAATCAATAACAGGAAAGGTAACTACATATTTAATAGTCCTTAGGCTACGAACCTGTTTATCCAAATTTTGCACTCATTACTAGACATCACTTTCATGGTATGCACTGGTTGTTTTTAATGTACATAGAAAAACTTGTGGAATACTGTCATCAACGTAAATGACATTCGCTTTTCGTCCTCTCAAGTTTATAAACAACACCCGGAGTATTATTGACCAGTGAATTCAGAATTCCCTGATAGTGGTTGTATGTATTTGGCCATGCTAAAGCATTTCGATAGAGAGAGAGAGAAAGATAACTGACTCTCTCTACTCTCGGCTATATCATGGGATTTTTCAAAGTTAGTTTACAAGGACAACTATTACAATCAACACAAACTTACATATTTATATCAATATCTATAGTGATTCAAGCAATTGTATCTTTTTGTTTATTCTCTGAATTTGTTTGTTCCAATGTTTGAAATGTAACATTTTGTTTAGATTGTTCAGTTTCACGTATAATCCATTCATGATTTAATGCTTCATTTGGTGTAATTCTTTCATCTGGATCCCATCTATTAGTTAGAAAGAAAATAAAATCCAAATGACAAATTATAGTTTGTTAATCATAGAACTAAATATCTGAATATACTTATATTCAATTGTTGATATCAACAGTGCTATTCGAACTCGGCACCTTCCGATTGAACCGTCCATATGAGTTATACAGTGAACTTCTGAATTAGTAGGAGCACCGAATCGTTCAATAAAGATTGAGTTGAGTAAGGAAAGCGAAAACTATCGGTTTTGAAGTCTTAGCGTAAATATTTACACCGAAATGCTGAAATATTGAGCTAACAACTTCCAAACCAGTTGAAATATACATCCTGAATTTTGCTACAAGCTACCATAACTTGTGTCTGAAGTCTATCAGTCAGTAAGCACCAACGTAGAACTTCATACTTACGTACATCAGTTAAGGTTACCATACCACATTTGCACATAGATACAATTGACAGTTCAAACCACATAGTGGTAGAGATAGTAAAAGTATAAGCAGTAATCGAAAACATGAGCATTTGAAAATGTTATTCAAAAAGTATAATCCAGTGAAATAAATTTGTACAGAGAAAAAAAGGGGATATGAAGAATTTGAAAGAACACAAAGAGTGGATGCATCTTAGCCATTGCAAAATATGTTGAGTCATGTCACATTCAAGGTCTCTGATCATCGGTTGCTATCGTCTCATGCATCCAAACCAGGTGGTCTACACCTACCAACATGAATCAGTTCACTTGTCAGTGAATTCATGGATTTGGCCGCCCCTATCTTTCTTCCAACCTACTCCTAAATTATAAAACATCGCAGGTGGGGATAGTTGGTGTTTGGGTATAAGTAACACATGTTCGAGCCATCTCAACTAATGAAGTAGCACTATTTCATCAATTGATTTGTCATCCTTACCTTGTACCCATCTGTAGTATATAATAGACGTGATCCACTTTATAATAAAAAGACCCTGATCAATTGTAGTTCTAAGCATTCACAATGGGATGATGAAATCCCATGGTAACAATGCATTAACTCAGTTCAAGCCTACTATTTTTTATCGGTTTATTCTGATGAGCTAAAGTTTAATCTACCATTTATGATTTTGATAGATGAATACATGAATCTTAAGAGATTGTTAACATAGGGATCACCTAGTATATTTACAGAGATATATCTACAATGAGAGTAATTCACTATACAATAAGATCATGTTTTACAGTTTCCTTGAAATTATGAATCGTTCCAAGTTAGACCATCATTGAAATCCTAAAAATATTAAATGACTGTATAATTGTGTAAATGAATTCCATAGTAGTCTACAATCACAATCGAACCTAGAGCCTTCTCTCCTGTACATGAATGTCTAACGTCTATACAATAAAGCTGAGGATTCAACAGTGTTTCTTTCGTATAGAATGTTTCAGCTTGAATGAATTCATTTTTAAAGGTTTTTTTAGTCCTCTCTTTCATTTCATTCAATTCAATGTATAGATTATGTTGAAAGACGTGCACAAAAGGGAAAAAATGCCTCTATTCAAATTCATTTCATGTCATATTCTGATGTCTATTCAGAATATATTCTCATTCTTATTTTAATCTATGGAATCTACTTTATAAGAGTAAGTCAACGTATTGATTTTGTCAAACTAAAAGGGAGCTAAGTGTTATATCTGAGCGAAGATTAAATTATAGGTAACTTCCGAAGACTGTTAATAGACTAATATTCTATAAATATTCTTATTGTATAATTATTCAATAATTAGATTATGTATATTTATATTCCTCTTATTATAAGCTTTATGTTGACCTATAATTTATTAGTATACGATTTACGGTTCTTAATCTATGTTCAGTCTATTAATTACTGTCCCCCTCGTTCACAGCCACTTTTTGGCTTATTTGTGTACATATGTTATTTCCTAATTTATGGTGTGTTGTGGTCTGTCTGTTTGATATATAAACCGAGTATGTTTGAAATAAACGATCTGCTCTGATCTGCTCTGATTCGAAGCTGGTATCGTGTTCTGGACTCAAGTGAAAGGGCTCGAAGGACATAGGATCAATAAGGACGCTAAACTGCCCACACCGGTTGAACGTCATTGGTTGACCTAGTGTTAAGATTCGTATAATTCGTATTCGGATTGGTAGATAATTCGTGTGATAGAAAAAGACAAACATCCAAGGTCATAACACTAAGTAGTTCATGTTTAAAGTATCCACAATACTCAATAGTATCAAGCCTTAAAATTGTATGTTTGATTCCTTGTAGGATAATAATCCAGTTACAATTATTGAATCATCATCTGAAATGTTAATTCCAGGAAACGATATAAGTTTCATAGTCTACACTACGATTAATGTTAGTTAAATAATATTTTTTAACTACAAATCACTGAACAAGTGAATGACACTTGTGTGAGAATCATCTGAAGTGCTTATTTACAGTCCTACCGGGAATCGAACTCGGAACTGTTAAATCTCACATCGAACATGTGATGTTATATCCGCGCGAAGATTAAATTACGAGTAACTTCTGAGATCTTTTAATGGACTAATATTATCTATCGATTCTTATAGTATTACTGTTCATTAATTAGATTAGGCATATTTATATTCTTCTTATTATAAGCTTTATTTTGACTTATAATTTATTATTTACTGTCCCTAAATTGTGCTCAGTCTATTGACTACTGCCTTCCACGTTCACAGTCACTTTTTGGCTTTATTGTATACAAATGTTATTTCCTATTTTATGGTGTGAAGCGGTTTGTTTGTTTGGTATATAAATCCAGTATGTCTGAAATAGATGATTCGATTCGATTCGATTGGCATATTGGAAGCTGGTATTTGGTGTTCTGAACTCAAGCGGACGGGTTAGGCGGACATAGGACCAATAAGGCCGCTAGGCTGCTCATACCGGTCGAATGTCATTGGTTTGGCACAGTGCCATGATTGTATAAGTCGTATTTTGATTGGTGAATAAATCACGTGATAAAAAAAGCCGGACATAAAGTCATAACATGTAATCTGAATACTAATTATTCAACACTCATTGGTTAACATTTCTAGTTTAATTCCATCTCACACAACTATTCCCTTATACAATTTACACTGCAATACTGAGAGTTACATCTAGAAATCACTTACTAAAGACAAAATGACAATAATACGACTATCTCATGACTATTCTCTTTAAAAAAATAGAGATAATAACAAAATTAACCGATGGTTATATGGACTCAATACTAAAATGGATAATGCGATAATATTTGCAATGAAGGGTGACTAGATCAGAGTTCGATGATGAATAACTCAAGGATTCAAGTACATCTAACTGACGAAATCTATTAAAGATCAAATGAACTACTAATCATCATTCATCACAATTGATTGACCACTGGGTGGTGATCAATGTCATGCTTGTCTAGTCCTTATTAGTGCAGATCGAATGCTATCGATCATGTTGCAATGTGGCCACCAGTCTAGGTGACTCGACACTGCGGGCACTATGTATTGAGATTTATATGGTGGTTGGAGGTCGACTACCTCCAACCACCATCTAATTGGTGAGATTTTTGTTTTTCTTTTTATGCCTGACATGACATTGATCACCACCCAGTGATCAATCAATTGTGATTAACTCTCAGTAAAACAGGTATATATAAACAGCTCGGATAGCTCAGTGGTAACGTCTGTGACTGTGAAGCTGGGTGACACGAGATCGAATCCGCCAGCGACCAACAGTTCCCTCAAGATTACAGGTACACCATGCTAACGAGTGGCAAGTAGCACGAAACCCGGATCCAGGGTTTCCTGTCGACTACCTCCAACCACCATCTAAACCATCACTCACCTCCACTTATAATCCTTTTCGACTTAATCACAATATCATAGATCCATATATACCAAAAGTCAGTGGACAATCTGAAGTCTTAAACATCAATGGGAAAGATTTAAACAATCAATATATAAATTGTACAGATTGAAATCATGAGTCAGTAGAAGCTAGACCACTATTAAAAACCTGGAAGCTCAGTAGTCTAATGGTTAAGTGCTCACGCGTGAAGCTAGTAGGTTCTGGGTTCGAATCTCGCGGGATGCGGGAGCCTGGATGCGCACTGCTGAGGACGAAACGGCCGTCCAGTACTTCCAGGTTTTCAATGGTGGTCTAGCTTCAACTGACTCGTGATTTCAACCTGTGAAAATTTATAAAATCTCCACAAACCCCTTCTGATATAAATTATAATGGAATAACTTACGTTAAACATTGAGTTAATAAATTGATAAATTTTAAATCAACCGTTTTGACTAGATTTTCTATTGTTTCTGTGCCTGGTATACGTTTACGACCTCGACTATTGGTTAAATATCTTGGTGTACGTTTTGAATCTGAAATAGAAAAGAAACAACGATTTTTTGGTTTATTACTTTGTGAATGTGAATGATGATCCTTAGGAGTCTCGATGACATTATCATTGTTAGATGCTGAATCAATCGTATAAAGGTTAAGAGTTCGTGTGTAACATCGAAGGCTCTGTGTTCGATTCCCGTGAGTAGGATCATGAATATTCATTGCTAAGAAGTCCTGTTCTACCAATACGAAACGGTCATCTAATGCTTCTAAGTTTTCAATGATAGTTTAGCATCAATCAATTCATGATCGTAATCATAATCGAATTATATGAAATAAGATCTTAGGTTGAAAAGAATGTTAAACTGAATTGAAATGTCACTTAGACAATGACTCTTAGTTGTACAATCAACATTTTTATTCTATTTATTTAAGCACATAAACATTGGTACTACGAAGCACCAAATAGATACGCGCCACATTTCGTCATTCGACTTGTGTGAGAGCTCAGATACTACCCCGGTTCCCAAACCGAAGCAGGTGGTTTTCTTAAAGGGCCACACCTGGAGCCTTCAACCTAACGCTCTGATCCACAAGTCAGTGGAGCAACGTCTGGAGATACAGTCCCATGCTAGAGAGTGGCCGACGATTTGTTCATACACCATTTGTTCCTTCAGAATACTGGAGCCCAAGTGCACCATTGATATGGGATCACAGTTTTCCAACTCCCATAGATGGACTGTTCGTGTCCACCAACCCGGTTTTCGTCTTCTCAATTATGTAAACAACAGTAATGCTGCGAGAAGGCAGTGAGCAGGACTTCGCTGACAATGGCTGTATGCGTGTGTCCATGTAAGAGCATTTCGAGAGGGACAGTTGACTTTCCCCACTCTCGGCCGTACAAGGGCATTTAGGAGTGGACTAGTCAACAATATGTACATCATTTAGCTTACACCAAATCGAGTTTCAAATACTGAGTTTGCAAATGTAGATTATTGGATGTTAATTCAGCAATAAAACGTTATATTTAATTTGAGAAAAGTTCATGACTTAATGCCATCTTTAATTTGAATGTATCTTCACGGTCAAGCCTTATGTCTCCATTCTCCACTTCAATAAATAACACTGTGAAACACTATCAAAAAATCTTCCATGATGTAGTACTGAGGTGTATGCTACTTATGTTGACAGATATAAGTAGTAGGTAATACCAATTAGATGTACAATGCCTGGTATTAGAAGATTGAGAAGATTGAATTGAAGACAACAGGACTATAAACAGAAAGTAATTGTTTTGAAATAACGATGAAGCTTATAAGAGGCAACTGATGGAAGATGTGCAAATGATCTACTCAATGTATGGTTTCCATATTTTAAGAAGATGCTCTTCAATTTTACGTTAAAGAATAAGTTCGCTAGTCCCACTTAAATTCTTCGTTTACTACAGTACTATAAACATTATCAGGGATTGTAAACTAGGTCGCCGTTTTTCGATGAGTAACTGAAGTTTGAGATATTTCTATAAAGAAAACACGATTCTACACAATTAAAGTGTTTTGATGAAGTTTTGTTCTCGGAGCTGAATGGTTTAGTCATGGAGCTTTCATAGTTACTCTGAACGACATCATCACAAAAAACCATCCAGCTCAGAGAACAAAACTCGATCAAAATCATTCATTTAAGTGACAAATCTTCTCCAACATCACAGTTAAAGTATGTAAACAATAGAATATACCAGTTTAGGATAGATGTATTTCAAGTAATACATTTAATATTACATCATGATTAGCATGAGGTTGTAGAGATGATTGATTGAGATCATGAACCGATTGATGTTGGATCACCATTGTAAACCCTGAAAGTACTAGACGTCCGTTTCATCTTATTGTTTGGATTACTCTGCAGTGCGCATCCATGATCCCACTAGGGGATTTCTAACCCAAGGCCTTCAGTATCACTCGCGAACGCTTAACATCCAGACCACTAAACCGACTGCCAGTTGTTTAATAAATCTCAATTGTGAACCAATTCCCAATGATACTGAGGAAGTATCTATGTGTATAATTGAAATAAAGGATTAAGACAAAAACACAACTGTAAACATTGAAAAATTAATGAAATTGTCTTACCGAAAAATACTCTTCGTCTACTGGCTTTTTCAAGTTGTAATTCAGATGGTAAACCAAGTACTTCCATAATACAAGCTAATTGTTCATTTTCATTTTCTCCAGGAAATAATGGACGACCTGATTATAAATGGATGGTGAAGTGGAGGGAGGGGTGAAAGAATAATAATAATAATTGCAGTAATACCAACTATAAATTTAGTAATTAAATTGTTACTAACAAATTTGATATAAGTAGTTTATTTGTTTGAAGGGGATTTGGGATTATTGATCTTTGTTTGTAGGTTCTATTTGTTATAGAATAATTACAGTAACAGTACTTCTGAAAATCAGGGATCAATGGATAAGTATCTAACTCTAGAGCTAGACTCCTTAGAGATTTGTACCTGCCCCTACAAAACCCTATTCAATGTGAACTAAAATAGTTAGCTAAATAGTGAATCTTTTTACAATGATCCCAAAGTTCTTATCTAATGTCTTGGCCGGTGTTCAGGCATGTTTGGAGTGAAAGATTTGCGACGAATGTGATCATCTTGTTATATCACTTATGGACTGAAGTTCAAATTGCATCTTTCAATATCGACTCGGTGACTGTAGTAGCTACATTTTCGTCCCAAGACCCCAAAGATTTGGGTTCTATTTCTGGTTAAGTCGTGCGTGTGAACTTCTAAGTTCTTTAATACAAGTGATCACCTATTTAGCTCTACCTGGTTTCAAAATGGGATCGTTTTGTAACAAAAACAACCTATAAGTACATTATTATTGATGAATCAGATTGAAACTTATGAAAGAAAAATCAGCGTATTTTCAAGATATGATGCATTTATTTTTTGGGTCGAAGGCCACCAAATGCCCTGATACGGCTGAAAGTGGGGAGAGTCAGCTCTTTCTCTCTCGCCAACTTCTCTCACTTGGCCTCACGCGTATAAAGCTACTGCCAGAGAAGTTCTACTCATCGCCTTCACGCGGTGGGGGTGTTATTTACGGAATTAAAGGGACGAAATGCGAATGTCTGGTGCTTTAACCGGATTTATGGATACGGAGGGTCCATCTAGAGTAGATGGAAAACCCTTATTCCAAACTAATGATTCACATGGTCTTCAGGATCATGTGGGAATGAATGGTGTGTGAACCAATTATTGGACACCGGTTAACATTGTACTGTGTCTTCTGACGTTGCTCCACTGGTTGATGGACATTAGACGGTTATCCACCTCAGACAATGGATGAAGTGTTTAACGAGATGATGGATTGATCGAAGTTAGACATTAACACTGGTGGATGCAGACTCAATGGTCTAGAGGTTAAGCGTTCACCAGTGAGATCAGAGGTCCTTGGTTCGAATCCTGCATGCAGGATCGTAGATGATTACTACTTAGGAGTTCCATACTAGGCCGAAACAGCCATCTAGTGCTTCCAAGTTGTCAATGGTGGTTTAGCTTAGATTGACTCGTGAATTCAATTTTGAAAGTATCTTTTTGGTCAATCTCAATGTCAAAACTAGAATTGCTCAACGTCATTAGAATACTTTTACTGCTACCATGGAGTTTGCCGGTAAAGTACAAAGAACATGGATCATTGTTGTCTCCCCTGAAGAAACTAATAGTGTCTGTTGAACACAAGCTTATGGTGAAGTGTTCACTACAATGATATATGAGCATAAGAATTTGTGAATAAGGAAACCGAAAAGATTAGTTGATTTTGACGATACTTGTCCTGATCTATTTCAGCATAGATATGTCAGAGTTCTAGACAGCAGGCATATATAATGGAGTTTAACCATCTTGGAAATGAGTTAGATCTCATAGATAACACAAAATAACTGTGCTACTGATATCGACAGATATAAGTAGTGTGTATCATCAATCGAAAGTGAAATGCCTAGAGGCAGAAGGTTAAGAAGATCAAATAAAAGAGAAGGAGAACAAGGAATGATTACTGCAGAAATGAAGGAACAGTCAAGTTTGAGATGATTGATTAACATTTTGCATATGAAGTATTTTTTTACTGTGTGGTTCTTAGATTTTCCTAAGCTGTTCTGTAATTTTGTGTTCAAATATATTTGGTTGTCCCCACTTGTGCTGTTGTTCACTACACCAGATACCAGCTCATGGATCAAAAAAGTATCATTATCATCAAAAGATCTGCATTTCTTGGATTCAACTTAGTAGTATGGTAATGGTATTAATCTGAGTAGAGTTCCTATATGTGATTAAAAATTTCATTAACAGAATGACAACTGTTTAGTTGGCAGTCAATAGAATTGAATGGAATATTTAGCACCTAAACTACTATACTGTAACATAAACACCTTAATAAATGAAGATTATTTTCCCAGTCCTGAACTGTGTCTATCGATTAAGCATGAAATTATATTCATCGCTTCATGGGTTTTGGAGAGTGCTGTGCGGCGGCTTATGCTCCACAACAAGGAGTAACAGGCGTAAGTAAGTAAGTAAGTAAGGTTAGTGTTTCTTTTGATGTATCATTATGAGATGAAAGAAGAATAAAAGCACAATCATTTCAATCATATTTACATAAAGTTCAAGCTTACCTGTATATAATTCAGGTAGAATACAACCTAAACTCCACATATCAATTGGTGGACCATAAGATATACCTAATATAATTTCTGGTGCTCTATAAAAACGTGATTGAATATACGTATAGGCTAAAATGTTAAATATAAAATTTAAAAAATAATAATAAGGATCACACTTTATCTAATCGATTTGATTGGTTTGAAACAAAAACTGATTGTAGAGAAGATTTGTAGCTGGAGGGTGGATGATTTCGATGAAGGTTTATTCTCTAAGCTGGATGGTTTACTCGTGGAGCTTTCAACATGAACCAATCAACATCGATCTGTACAGGTCAATTTGTGAACCACTTTTGTGGGGAAAATCGAACATTTCACTTCTACCTGAAGTTTATGCTGATGATGTCGTTCAGAAGAACGATGAAAGCTCCACAACCAAAACATCCAGTTCAGAGAACAAAACTTTAACAAAAAACTGATCATATGAATATGATGACACTATAATTTACAAACGACCTGTTTGAATATCTAGACTACGTGTTCCTGACATCAACATCACATATAGGAGAGTTTATGACCTTTCATTGTACAAGTTACAAAAGAGCTCAATCAGTGACATTGTAGTTGTTGGAAATATGCATTGAAAACTATACAAATTAATCCGATGTCAATTCCTGACCTATTAACATCTAACTGGTAATCACTTATCATGTTATCGTCAAGATAGATGAAGAAATAAGAAATGGGAAATTTGTTGAAATACTTTATGCTTAGAATTCTATATTGTACTAAAAATATAATTCTTACTTTACTTACGCATGTTACTCTCAAATGAAGCATAGCTAACCGACCAGTATTCTTCAACCAACTCTGTGTCTGGGTCTGAATAAACCTAATCATAATCAGTATATTCGATGAGACTATAATTTATGGATGTGCTTTGAACAATGCTAGAATGATCTTAGAATGGCCAATTACTTACTAAGGTTAAGTGAGGATTATAGATTAGTGTAAAGAGTTAGGATGATGATTTACACTTGAACGTTAGGGTTAGGAATTAGTTGTTTTTTTACATAGTCATCATGAAATGACATTAGCTATAATGCCAAAGTGTCATTTAGGCCAACGAATGGATGAATTTCACGATTGGTTCGCCCATAAATTATAATCTCACCATAAGGATTTGAAAATGTTATTCAAAGAGTATAATCCAGTGAAATAAATTTGGAAAGATAAATAAAATAGGGGACATGAAGAATTCAGAAGATTAGAATTTGGGAGAACACAAAAAGTGGATACAAAATGAGCCATTACAAAATATGTTGAGTCATGTCACATTCAGAGTTTCTGACAATCGGTTGCTATCTTCTCGCCCATCCAAACCAGATGATCTACTCCCACCAACATGGATCATTCCACTTGTCAGTGAATTCATGGATTTGGCTGCCCCCTTTAGCTTTCTTCCAACCTACTCCTACATCATAAAACACCGCACGTCAGGACAGTCGGTGTTTGAGTATTGATAAGTCTTGCTGATTGAACGCTATATTCGTCTCCTAAGCTATTCTGTAACCCCCAAGTTAGAACTATACAGCGACCTGAACACGAGAGAGAAGACTTAAAGTATGCGAGAAGTAGTTTACTCGAAGGTTCATTTTAATACAGAAAATACAGGGTTTTTATAATATTTTAAATGTCCTTGGATTGCTCGAAGATTATGGATTGCTACTAAACATAGTAGCAGTGTAGCAGCCCACGAATCAGAGCCTCTGCATGTGAAGCTTTGCTTGGCTAAGACTTCAAGTGAACGCTGATTGGATGAAACGCTTCTTAGTGTTTTCTGATGCTTACTTGTCTTTTGCAAGCAATTTTCTGGATGACCCCAACAGGTATAAGTAACACATGTTCCAGCCGTTTCAACTGATGAAGTCGCACTATTACATCAGTTGATTTGTAATCTTTACCTAGTAACCGTTTCCTAACAACTGCATTACTTATTCGATGGTTACAGGATATACAAACAATGCTTCAAAGACACCTAAAGTCACTTATAAGTAGTGAATTGTTAATCCATCCTAGTTCTTAATACTTTAGTAGCGCTTACTTCAATTTAAGATTTTCAAATTCTAATTGGGGATAATTTGTCAACGAACTAAACAGGAATAACACTTTGTTTTAACTATGGTGTGGTATGTGCTACTGATATCAACAGATATTAGTAGTATGCATCACTAGTCGAAAATGAAATGTTTGGTGGCTGCAGATTAGGAAGATCAAAGAGAAGAGAACGAGAACAAAAGTGGTTGGTGAGGAAATGAAGGAACAATGAAGTCTGAGACAATTGATTGGCATTTTGCAGAATGATGTATTTACCGTATGATTCTCAGATTTTACTTAGATGTTCTGTAATTTCCTATTCAAATCCATTCGATTGTCCCCACTTGTGTTCTCATATACTATAGTAGTATTTCAGTTTTGTTAGCTTGAATATCAAGTTCCCTTCACTACTTCTTTCCTTTGCTGCTTTATGACGATGGGTTCTTGTTGAAATGTTTACATGTGATATACGACACTTTATCCAACTTAATAAAGAACTTATATTCATATTAGAATAAGGTAAATCATTTCAATAGTTGAGATCATGAGTCATTTGAAGCTAGACCACCATGGAAAACCTGTAAGCACTGGACAGCCGTTTCGTCCTATTGTGGGACGAAATTGAGCGATATATCTCTTGAAACCAGTCCCTAGTGATCAGATGTTGATTAGTATCAGAAGAATTAGTTGAAGTTAGACATTAACACTGTGGGATGCCGACTCAGTGGTCCAGTTGGTTAAGCGCCTGGCGCGAGACTGACAGGTCCTGGGTTGGAAACCTATGAGGCGGGGTCGTGGATGTGCACTGCCGAGGAGTCCCATACTAGGAAGAAACGGCTGTCCAGTGTTACCAGGTTTTCCACGGTGGTCTAGCTTCAATTGACTCATGATCTCAACTATTGAAATTACTACAATCTCCACAAAACCCATTCTGATACTAAATCATTCCATAATTTCTATCATCACAAAATGAATCATAGCAACTATCAATCAATAATGATGACATAATTAATTTTCTTGAACTTACTTTTTTGATTCACAAAACAACTTGAACCAAAATCAATAACTTTTAATTCTGATGGATTATTTAAACCAATAAGAATATTTTCCTAAAATAATCAATAAATAGAAAAATGATTGATTATTGAACCAAGTTCTTAATAGATCAAATCAATATTTCATTTCAATGTTATTAAAGTTGTTGAGACGGTTTCCAAGACGTATGACGGAGCATGCAGAAGCCTTAGAAAAGTCGAAAAGTTTCATCTAATCAGAATATAATGAAGCTATGCCATTTTGTTCTATGACCTGGATGGTTTAGTCATGGAGCTTTTATTGTTCTTCTGAAAGAAATCATCAACAAAAACTTCAAGGAGAAGTGAAGTGTTCAAATTTCTTCACAGCTTGTGGAGAAATTCGAACAGTCCATTTCTACCTAAAGTTTGTGCTGATGATATCGTTCAGAAGAACAATGAAAGCTCCATGAGTATACCATCCAGCTCAGTGAACAAAACCCCATCAAAATCATCCATCATCCAGCTACAAATCTTCTTCACCATCTCAAAATCATAGTAGCTACGTAATAGCATGCTATTATTGGTCAGTAACATAATATACCTCTTTGCGGATTGGCTGAATTGTAATGCTGATAGAACAAATGCTAATATTCTGTAAATACCCATAATATTCTGTAAATTTTGATTCTTGCCCAACGAATATATTCTCCAGTCTTCTTCTGTCTTGTCATTTGCAACTTGGGAAAGTCCTAGGGTTCGAATGCTCATGTCATACGCGGTATATTAAGAATCTAAGCTTCAACATATAACAAAAGTTATACATAGTTACATGACAAAACTGTCTTTGAATTAAGTTGCTTAATAATCATGAAAGGCAGTTATCAAGGAAACTTTTATCAACAACATTCAAGAATGTTGTATATCTAATAATCAACGATAATGTGAATCAAAGACAATTCTTTAATATTTGATTTGAACACAATTTTCTTTGAGGAGGGGTCATCTCTTGAATAACTTGAAGATTACTAATTGGTTACATTATTATCCTTTTCGTATACGACAATAATTATTGACAAAAAGCTTACTATTACAGTTTGTCATTTGAAAGATTCTTCAGTTGGGATTAGTATGTTCTCAACTATGATTGAATTTATATTGATCGGAAATTAGCCTTGTAATCAATAAATGCACAGCAACTATCCGTATATATATACTTTATAAGCAAAGATGAATGGCAGCTAACAGTGGAATTCAGTACCCACGTTTCATCTTATTTGAAACTTTTTAGTTTGATATACCTGCATCCGAGTGTAGATGTTCACTACAGGACTCGAACCAAGTGGATGTATACACATAGTTATTGGAGATACTTAAATATGACTAAGCTGCTTATTTATGCATGAAAGGATTACAGATTATTATCAGAATAAGGAGATTTAGTAAAGATATCTGTAATTTAATAGTTAAGTTCATGAGTCAATTAAATCTATATCACCATGGAAAACTCGGAATTACTTAATGGCAGTTTCGTGTCGTTCTAATATAGGACTGCTCAGCATACTTCTGTCTATATTCTACAGGACATCAATATAACTCAATTCAAGAACACATGATTAGCCATACCAAAAACCGACAACAATCCGTCAACAATCATAGTAATAATAAGGGTGAAAGATTATAGAACTTATCTAGTACCTGTTAGACTATCTTATTAATCTGACAAACCAAACAATCAATCATTATCATCCTTCCCCCCACATATCAATCCCATTAAGTAAGTAAATTGTATTTCTGATATTTTTTGACTTAATGTAAGTCACTATTGTAGAGAAGTGGCTTAATTTATCGGAAACTATCAAGTCCTAATTTGCCATTGATACCTGCGAGGATTGTTATGGATGAAGAAAAAGAATAGTTATCAAGAAATGAATATTCTATAGTATCATGTTTTATCCAAATGTTTGAAAGATTTATAATTTAAACATGTCAGTAATACGATATCTCACAGACATCGATATTCTATCTAAGCCGTTTTATTTTTATGGGTATTTATTTTCTCCTTCGACCAGTGAGCATTCATAACGTCACCAAGAATCGAATCTATGACATTCAGGTCTCTTTCAGAGTGTTCGATCTTCAGATCACTTTGATAGTGTCCAATGTGGTTACAACATATCTAGTTTAATCACATAGAAATATTGAATAATCATATTTTATAGACTTTGATGAATGACTGTTTACTAAACCGACATAGATAAACTTCGCTTGTCAAAGCTTCTTGTTTAGAATATATCTTAATGGATGCTTCAGATATATATGACAAATATCAAAGGAGAAATAATTTTAATGAAAGACAATAAACGTAAGAGCTCAATTAAAATTTTCTCTTCTATATTTTAACACATACTTTTTATAAAATGAACACATTAAAATTCACTATGAATATTTTTGCTAAACGCGTTAAGGTACTTTTTAAGTTTTAAGTAGTACAAAACGTTTTAAGTAATTTACTTATCCAAAAGGTTATAAGCACTGACAAGTCCTGGGTTCGAATCCCACCTGTCATGGTCGTGGATGCCTACAGTCACTGAGGAATTCCACAATATGATGAAATAACCATCCAGTACTTCGATATTTTCCATAGTAGTCTAGTTTCAATTAACTCATGATCTCAGCTATTACAATAGAAACATTGAAATTATATAAATAATAACACAATTGTAATAGTATTAACTTACTGGTTTCAAATCACAATGTATAATACCTTGTTTTCTTAATAAACACAAACAATTGAGTAATTTAATTGTAATTTTTTTCAATGAATGAATTGTAAAACCACGAAAATCATTTTTTCTTAAAAGATCATATAAATTTGAACTGTATAGATGTTCAAAAGATAAATAATACATATGAGAAATTAGTTTAATTTATATGAATGAATTATGATAAAGGTTCTGAGTTATTCAATTACAAATCTATCGTTATGTTATGTTATCAAAATACCTTGGTATGGCTGAAGGTGGAGAGAGTCAGCTCTCTCTTTAGAAGTGCTCTCACATGGCATCGCATATACAACCACTAACAGAGAAGTCCAACTTACTACCTTCTCGCAAAAGGGGTGTTGTTTACTAAATTGAGAGGGCAAAAGGAGCATGTCTAGGGCTCTAATCAAGTTGGTGGATATGGAGGATCCCACTAGTAAAGTTGGGAAACAGTCATTCCAAACCACTGGCGCACATGGACTCCAGTATCCTGCGGGAACAAATGGCGTATGAACCAATTATTGATCACCGTTTACCATGGGACTGCATCTCCTGACGTTGCTCCTCTGGCTTATGGAGCAGAGCTTTAGGTCAAAGGTTCCTGGTGTGGCTCCCTAGGAAAACCAACTGCTTCGGTTTGGGCATTCAGGCAATATCACAACCCACAAACAAATCAAGTGACTTGTGTGGCGCATATTTATTCGATGTTCCTTTGTACCAATGTTTATGTGTTCAAATAAATAAACAAATATATAAAATGATGTATGGTACTACTTCACTGAAGATCAAACGAATAATGTTCACCCATGTAGAGTATGAAGCGGTGAAAAGTGGTTACGCAATCTCTTCAGTTAACTCAAGTCAAACACGTAAGGGTTTAAAGTTCACTTCATTGATCTAAAGTTAACACTCGAAATTTATATGTTTAATCTCTGGTTGAATTTAATATATAAATATTTGAAGAGTTTTCTATGAAGATGAAGAAGATATTCAGTATTTCCGAGTTTCCAGTGATACTCTTATTTCAGTTAATGAATGGAGAGAATGTCATGTTTATGATGGAGTTTTGTTCTCTGAGCTGGATGGTTTGGTCATGGAGCTTTCATCGTTCTTCTGAATGATAAACATCATCCAGCTGAGAGAACAAAACTTCATTGAAATCATCCACCTGAGCTACAAATCTTCTCCACCATCTCAAAGTCAAGTTTGTATTTCTGAACGACTTCTTATTAAAATATCATGACTGACAAGCAAACACGAAGTAGTTCTAAGGAGTTATTCATTTACATTTCGAAGATGGAATGTTACGGTAGTCATTACTAAGTTCGATCTTCTAAATCGTCAAATATGTGTGTTAATGAAGTTAAGTATAATACTAGAATATTTCTTCGCCAATGTTTCTATAATCCCGCTGTTAATATTTAAGATGATATTGAAGAAATCCCCACCAAAAGTTTAGATCAAAAATTCAATCCTGATTATCATGAAGATGCCACAGGTATTCGGCGTTTGACAACGCTTTAACCAGTGACACCTTCGAATATGAATCGTACCCATCAAGTGAAATCAAAAGACGGAAGCGAGAAGGTTCGAAGATATATTTGATAGGCTATCAATATATTGAGGATCGTCTGATCTAATCTGGCTAACGATTGCAGGGTTTGTTGAACACGGCGTTCCCACTCATGATTTGGTGTGGATGCATAACCGAACGCCTTTAGCTAGGTGAGTCCATTAAAACTAATGTGGTCAGCATCCAATGTCGAAAAGCTACAGAGCTATTTATTTTGGGGATTTATTTACCGCTACAATCAAAAACGGAGATAACTCAAACGCTGGGAAATAACAACTTAAACATCATATGTGCGGAACAAGTCAATGGCTTTATAAAATCACAACGTTGAGCTTATGAAGTGAAAAATACTGAATCCCAGTCCCAATATGAATATCAACATCGACATATATATATACATTATCTAGACCATTAAGCCAACTAGACCGTTTAATCTTTTATTTGATGATAACGCAATCAAAGTTTAAAAGTTCTTTGAAGCGTAGGACTATGGCATTGCAGTAATACGTGGATATATTGAAATTGACCTGATCTATCAACTAACAAGGAAAAAGATTAAAAGAGACTCCGAGGTCACGGGTCAGGTCAGAGGCGAAATTTATCGAAACAAACGCGTGCACAACGGCCATACAAACTTATGGTCGGCAGAATACAAACAATCCGTCAATGATAGAGAAAGTTTAATTACTCATTTCTTATAGAGGTGTATGTTGATTATGTTATCTAGAGGAACAGGGTAAGATTCACGACCAAACTATCCTGTTCAGAGAATGAAGCACTCTCGAAATCTTTATTCTGAGCTACAAACATACTCCAGTATCAGAAGGGGGTTTTGTGGAGATTCTAGTAATTTGATAATTGAATTTATGAGTTCATTAAAGCTAGACCACTACGGGAAACCTGCAAGCACTGGACGGCCGTTTCGTCCTAGCATGGGACTTCTCAGTAGTGTGCATCTACGATCCCACACGTGGGACTCCAACTCAGGACATTCGGTCTCGCGTGCGAACGCTTGAACTCCAGACTACTGAGTCGGAAACCAACGGTGTTAATGTCTAGCTTCAACCAATCCACGAAATTGCACCACCGTCTATTATTGTTTTCAATGAGTTACTAACTCACAAAAGACCTAGTTGAACTCCATTGATTACGGCTTCTCACTAGAACTTCAATATCTCAGAATCTTCTATCCGTTTAATGAACTCTCTCTCTCACATACACACATACATACAAAGAAACATGTTATAGATAAGTTGACCATTAACTTACCCTAATAAGTCAAAAACAATGCACAAATGATTTCGAAATGTAAAATGATCTCTAATATGTATAATATTATGAATATTTTTATGATCAGCTTTTTTTAAATTCTCTAAAATGGCTACTTCCACTTGAGCTTGCTGATGAAATCTAAATAATAAAACAAAATATCAGAATAAATATATCAGTAGTAAGAAGTGAATTTGAGATAATTATTGAATTGTATGGTTTATATCATTACTTACTTACGCCTGTTAACCATCGTGAAGGAGTATAGGCCACCCACAAGAACGCTCCGTTCAACTTTATACTGGACAATCTTTTCCAGTTGTCATTCATTCGTTTCATATCTGCTTCCTATTCTTGACATAGTGTGTTCTTCGGCCTTTCTCTTTTCTGTTTCTCTTCAAGATTCCAAATTAGCATATTCCTCGTGATGCAGTTTAGTGATTTCCGTAATCTATTTCCTATCCAATCCCTACGTTTTTTTCTAATTTCCTCTTTAGCTGGGAGTTGGTTTGTTCTCTCCTATATTAGTCTGTTGCTAATGGTATCTGGTCAACGAACATTCAGTATCTTACGTAAACAATTGTTTGGAAATATTTGTATTCTTGATGATGGTTGTGATAGATCTCGAAGTTTCAGCTCCTTACAGTAGAACTATCTTAACGTTGGTATTGATGATTCTAACTTTGATATTGGTTGACAGTTGTTATGAGTTTCACATGTTTTTTAATTTTTGGAATGATATCCTTGCTTTACTAATCCTCACATTGACGTCTGTATCGGATCATCCTTATTCATCAATTATGCTACCCAGATACCTGAAGGATTCCACATCTTCCAGTTTCTCTGTTAAGTGTGATTAAGTTGGTGTTCTTCGAATAGTATTTGGGGATCTTGCCTTTTCCTTTGCGTATGTTGAGGCTTACAGATGCAGAAGTTGCTGCTACAGCAGTTGTCTTCATATACACTTGTTGATGTGTATGGGATACAAGGGCCAGGTCATCTGCGAATTCCAAATCTCCTAATTCATTCCCAGCTGTTCGTTGTATTCCGTGCTTTCCCTCAGATGTCAAGGTCTTCATAATCTAGTCAATTAGCAGAAGAAAGAGGGAGAAGGAGTGCAAGTAACCTTGTCTGACTCCAGTCCTCATATGAACTGCATCTGTTAGCTGTCAGCTGCACCACATCGAACGGTAGTCCATCGTATGAATTTTGTATAGTTTTGACGATCTTCCCAGGTACACAATAGTGTCAAAGAAGATTCCATAAGGTTATGAACCAATAATAATTGAAAGCAAGGAAGCATTGAACATTTATTTTGTATGAAGTTATTCAACAATGTGTATTCCCGACCACATAGAAGACTGAATTCTAGACATTTATGATCTTGTGGAGAGAAAGAAAGCTTTACTTTTAAAACTTTATATTAACCTCCAGTGATATCATTGAAACAATTCCAATCTAATGGGTATGGAGTTGTGGAGGTCAATAAAATTCATTGAAATCACTAACCAATTTAATTAAGATAATCATTGAACAGCTATTTCACTCTTGTATTGGATCGCTTAGCAGTACGCATCCACAACCCACAATCAGGAGTTAAACCAATGATCTACAGTCACACATACAAATGCCTAACATCTCAATTTTTCGATCGGTTAGTCATTTCAATAAAATTTAACAGTCTCCACAACCTTATATGGATAAATAGAGTTGTTAAAGCAAGACATTAAATTAGTATGAGAAGGGAAAGGTGTAACTGGGAATATTGTTGTTGTTTTTGTTGTAACGACAGAGTTATGTCAATAGTAGTAGTAGTCAAGAAATCTAAGCGGAAACATCAACTTTGATAACAAACATCATAAATTGTAGTAAAACAGTGTGAATTCATCCATCCATCTCACAATCTTCAATAAGTCTTCAGTATGGTAGTATTATCGAGTGTTCTCTCGATCATTTAATGGATGAGTCTTGTATGTTGGAGTATGATTTTAACTTGAAAATTTAATCCCAAACACTTGCAGGTTTCCACAGATTCGTCTACCATGAACGATCAACGAAACGAATCTCAATACATCAAATAAAAGACACCAATCCATAGAAAGTCCCTGCATAAAATGAAGTCTCTAGTGAAAATTATGCTCTTAAATTCTGCATACAGCAACTAAATAAACATAAAACTGTTGGAAAATGCTTAATATTTCACATATATTAAACATTGGAGAACGGATAACACAAACTCTTCTGTAAATCACTGTCCTCATGTAGGAGAGAGGAATCTGACAAATCCTTTTTGTATGCTCAACTTAAGTCTGAAATTACCGTTGACCAAATCTTAGTTGATGTAAAATAGGTTGGTATTGTAGGGTCAGTGGAATGTTATTGAGCATTAGCTAAATGATCTGGCAGTTGGGTCACTGAATATTGAACAGATCATTGATTTTTGTCAAGGTCAAGGACAATCAACACGCATCAATTAATTACACACCATGGACTGTCCCGTGCGGTGGTGGTTGCAACTGCTTTGTTGTACCTACCTTTACTGATACATTGCTGTAATGAAGTCGTTCGTGTTATACGGTCTTCAAAGCAGCCATCTTACCTTGATAAGACGAAGAGTTAATCCATGTTAGATGTTGATCACGAGGTGTTACTTTGAAGTTGGCTTTTAGTCACACCATTTCCGTCTAACTTGAGTAGGCCCTCAATCATTCAACATGGATCATTTGCGTTAGTGATCTAAAGTATATTTGATTGCATTCTGTAAATGATGTCAAAGGATAAGGTGAACGTTGAATGTTCTATGTCTAATACATATTGAAGAGTCGACTATATAATTGACATTTGTTAAACCATGCTGTTAGATACTACCGAATGTGATGTGACAGTAGCCTTGACGATTGACCTACCTATTTAGCTTTACGTGAGCAAATGCCATGGTACGGCCGAGAGTGAGGAGAGTCCGCTCTCCCTCTCTAAATACTCTCACTCGGCCACGCGTAAACAGCCTCTGCCAGGGAAGTCCTACTCACTGCCTTCCCGTGGTGGGGGTGTTGTTTACGAAAATGAGAGGACGAAAAGCGAATGTCTGGCGCTTTAACCGGATCCCAAACCAATGGTGCACATGGGCTTCAGTATCCTGCGGGAACAAATGACGTATGAAACTGTCGTTGGTCACCGTCTTCCATGAGACTTCATCTCCTTACGATGCTCCACTTCCTTGTGGATCAGACCCTCAGGTCGAAGGCTCGAGGTGTGGCCCCCTAAGAAAACCACCTGCTTCGATCTAGGCACCCGGGCAGTATCACAGCCCTCACACATATCGAATGACATTTGTGTGGCGTATATGTATTTGGTGCCTCTTTGTACCAATATCTATGTGTTGAAATAAAATAAAATAAAAACTTGATTATTAATTTGTCAATATATCTGTACCATTGTACTATTCTGAAAGTGAATTTATCACATAAGATTCTTTCAAGATGGACAAATTATTTTATCGCATTAGTTTTTTTTCCATATTAAGTAACTTACCGTTTTTTATTTCTAATAATTTTTATTGCAACTGGAAATCCTGATTTATGATCAATAGCTCGTATTACTCGACCAAATGAACCTTTACCTAAAGTTTCCAATGTTTGAAATCTATAAGCGATATGATCATGGGTTATCTGAAAGAGAGAAATATATATCTATCTATATATGACAAACAAGAGTTAAATTATTACAATATGATAGAATCATATAGTATGTGAGACTATTGTTCAGAAAACTTAAAGCATTATATATGGATTTAATAGTTTAAAGAGTAAACTTTCAATGGTCTTGAATGCTGTTAGAGATATGAGGGTGGTTATCACTTATCGGTTGTCCACACTGTGGAAGGGTTCTTCTGGAGGTACTTCGAAAGGAAATTGGATTACAGGTGGTCTTATTGATCTGAAAGCGTGACAGCAGTGCTCAAGGGACAGCTGCTTGAGGTCGGTCACATACGACCTTTTTATGAGTAATTTTTGTGTTAGCTCTGTATTTATTGAGACCTTACCGCCGGAGACGGATATCCATGGGAGCCGACCTTTGGTTGGTTCATCACGATAAGAAAGCTCGACCATCACGCCAGGTTATCAACAATGGTCGAGCTTTAGATGTCCTTATTCAATTCTTCGTATATTTGCGTGTATGTATATTGATGAGGAGTTTCGTAGTAGGACAAAACACTTGTCCTGTGTTTCCTAACATTAAACAACTTTCACTGTTGTAAACAATAAAATTCATAACACATACTTACTTAAATTCACGTGTAACGTTTCTAGGGTTACTGTCAATCAACTGACAATAATTTTTAACTGATTTCACACTTCTCTCAATAATGTATGTTAAGCAATTCAAGGTTGATAATCACAAGCTCTATTCTAAAATGCATTGTAATTTTCCCATCGAACTGTCAGTTTACCCTCACAAGTCTATTAATAATGATGATTTGGAAATATTAGTTCTACTTGGTTGAAATATAATTTAGAAGCTTAGCTGGTGTCTCCTCAAAGCTTGGAATGAAAGGTGTGCGTATCTACGGATCAATAGGAGTGAATCCTACGTTAGTCCAAGGTAAATCATCACTGATAAAGGCTCGAGGAACTAGGCTGAAGAAAGAGTAGTGGATACGGTTGGAAGAACTATTATCGAAATACTGATTGGAAAACTTATCAGGCGATATCAATCAGATCACTCAGATCTAAAAGTAGTCAACATAATAATTTCACTTCTTCTTCGAAAAGTTTCAGATTGAATATCATTCAAGTTATAGTTGGAAGTGAAAGTAAATGTGATTAGTTACTTTCTGTGGACGAACAAGCACACAACTTAATGACCTTTAAATATGTGATTTCTTTACTTCATATTGATTTTTACGCTGGCCTCATTGAGAATGACTACTTGTATTTGTGTTTAGTGAAGTAGTGTCTAGTGTTAATCTGATTTATTGTTGTGGTCGTGAATCGCGTATATGATATAATCTGATTCTGTCTTCATATAGAGGGTCGGTTAGGTATCCAATCTAGTGGTATCATAAAATCAGTCACTCAGATCAACCTTATTACCACATCAACGTGGTAGCTCAGTACTTTACAGAAAGAAACATTTAAATCCATCCGCTATATCACCAAACTTTGATAGACAAACAGAATCCCAAATGTTGATACAGAAATCGAAGTATTGTTCATTAATGTTTACACTAGCTGACCTTGTCTTTATAAAGATAGGATAAGTTTCGGAGTAGAATAGAAAGATGAGGATTACTACATTCCGAAATTGGATTTGCACTAAAGCAAGAGCAGCATATTTACAACTGAAGAACATCTGGAACTCAAAGCAAATGTCAACCAACACCAAGGTCAGAATTTTCAATACAAATGTCAAGACAAATCTACTGTATGGGCCGGAAACCTGGAGAACTACAAAAGCAATCATCTACTAGATAAAAGTGTTCAACAACAGTTGTCTACACAAAACACTTCGGATCCATTAGCCGGACACTATTAGCAACAACGTACTGTGGGAGAGAGCAAACCAGATCTCAGTGGAGGAATAAATGAGGAAGAAGCGCTGGAAGTGGATAGGACACACATTGAGGACAGCATCCAACTGCGTCACAAGACAAGCCCTCACATGGAATCCTCAAAGCCAAAAAAGAAGAGGAATACCAAAGTACACATTACGCTGGGAAATGGAAATAGACATGAGAAAAATGAACAAGAATTGGATGGGATTAGAAAAGAAGGCCCAGAACAGAGTGGGTTGGAGAATGCTAGTTGGCGGCTTATTTTCCATTGGGAGTAACAGGCGTAATTAAGTAAAGTAAGTAATAATTGGATTTATGGGTCATCAGCAACGTCTTAACTGTTATCAATTTATAACCAGTAATGTTTTAGCTATCTCATCTCCCTAAGTATGAAGGAAGAACCATGAGTAAAAATAGGATACAACCTGTATAAAGCAGCTTCTAAACAAACCGGAAAGCATATATAGCGTTTTCAGTTATTTCATTATTGTTTTTTCACTCCAGTATCACTCAAATCGAACAAACAAATATCTGTAAACTATTGGTAACTACTATATACTTCTTAGTAGTATATATGCCCTAAAGATTTTAAATTTTAAATTTTCCAGTATGTTATAAATCAAAACGGATTTGACGTCCGGACAGCCGTTTGACGATGCTCTGATCTTCGTAAACAAAAGCGAGAACTCAATATATTTCTTAGTGAGACCGTAATGTATGGTCCCACAATTGAGCGGTGCTAAAGTGATATTGAGAAAGCTTACTCTAAAGAGGGTTAGAAATGATGTGAGAAATCAGAATCAGGATTTAGAATTAAAAGTGAGGGTCAAAAATTAAAGTCAGGTTATTTTTTATTACGGACGTATATCAGCTGTATACTGTAAAAGTTCTATCTAGACATAGGGATGAATGAATTTCGTGGTAAAATTCAAGACTCTACATCTTAAATCTGATTGGTTCGTTTATAAATTATAGTCTCATTCACTTTTTTATTAATTTGAACAGATATAGTGAGATTGTACATCTAGAGGTTTTCAAGAAGTGTTGGCGCTTACACAAACAGGACACACCTGACAGCTATCTCGTTCTAGTTTCGGACTCTTTATCAGTGTGGATCGACTATCCTACAACAGTTCAAACCAAACGTTTTTGGTCTAATGCTCAAACATTTAAACTCTGGTTAACTGTGCTGTCGTTCACTGGTGTATGTGTAGAACTTTCATCAGTTCCCGATGAACATCTATCTCATACCACATGTGATTGAACTCTACTTGTCATGAATCCTATGCACAACTCAGAGAATTAGCTCTGAAAATTAGTCATTTCTGTGCAAATGATTCTTAATTCGATACAAGTGGTTTGTAAAGTCCAAAACTAAAACTAATCCACTGTTCAGTGAGTCCTGGTTTTCAGTGATTGTCTAAATAAGATTAAATCATGATATAATCTAATGAGCTAAATTTCTCTTGAAAGTGTTATCTTCTCTCTGATTCTACTTAATACAGTATTTTTGTTGAATGTTATTCATGTATTGACTATTCAAATGATCTGATCATATTAGATCCCTTCATTTCATCTTGAATAAGAAGTTATAGTTATGCAAATAATATCAAAACGTTAAAGCACAGATTAATAATGAGTGGTTGAGGTTAGACATTAACACCGTTGGATGCTCATTCAGTGGTCTAGAGGTTAAGCGTTCGCGCGCAAGACTGAAGGCCTTGTGTTCAAATCCCATGAGTGGGATTGTGGATGCGTACTTCTGAGGTGTCCCACAATAGAACGAAACGGCCATCCAGTGCTGCCAGGTTTCCATTAGTGGTCCAACATCAATCGGTTCATGATCGCAATCAAGAAATTACATAATCATTTTCAATAGGAACTCATAGACAGTAATTAAAGAACAATTCATAATAATGATATGGAATGACCATGTGAAGTAGCCTAATGAAAAACGTCAATCCATAGCAATTAGAAATGATTTAAAAGTCAAATGAATTACATTGACGTCAAAATGGGACAATTTCCTAAGGATAGATTGGTATCTGTATATGAGTGAGTATATCTGCATTTTATCTGGTAGTCAATTGCATTTTCTTGTTCAGTTTTATGTTCTCACTCATGTAATCCGTTGGTGGAGGGGAGGGGTTTGATGGTTAGTGATTATCAGTTTTCGAATACCGCACATCACAACAGTGGATTTATTTCAATAAAAATACACATTTATTCAAATTGAATTTATCACAATAATGTTTGATTGATATTGCGGTAAAGAATGATTCTCATGATCCAACTTCAATGTTTCACTAAAGTTATACTGTGTTGAATGAGAACACAAAATGACAGAATATTTTAGTAAAATCTGAGAACCATACTTCATTTGCAAAGTGTCAATCAATTGTCTCAGATTTCATTATTCATTCGTCTCCACATCAATCATTCATTGTAATCGTTCACTTTCCTTCGATCTTCTTAGCCTTCTGCCACCAAGTATTTCATTTTTGATTGATGATACACACTAATTATATCTATCGATATCAGTAGCACACAAAACACTCGTCTCCACTTTAAAACAGTCATTCTTGTGGTGGTTCTGCTCATTATGTAACTTTCTTCTTCTCTGTTGTCTGTGCCACGCACTCCGCCAAAATGATGAGTCTGCGGCCCGCTGACTTTCATAGCTCCATTGACATACTGGCCATCTAAACCCCATGTCCACCCAGCAGCCTCACATCTCACTGCTTCTCTCATTGACAACACGCGCTGCAGCCCAACGCCTTCCTGTCAGAACACTCCGCTCTATGTCAATTTTCCTTTAGAATTAAGATCATTAGATAGTTACAAATATTACATATATATATAAATAATCCATATTACATAACATACTTTTAAATAACCACCATTTTCATCATCATAACCATGATTACTTGGAGATCCTTGAATGGCATCGATTTTTTGTGCAGATAAACCAAGATACCAAATTTTATTAAAGTTCAATATTTCCTCCTTTTCATATGATGTTAATTTCTTCCCATATATATTTAATGCAGCTGAAATTCATTTAAATATAATGAATAATAATAATTATAAGAGGGTTAAATGTAGATAGAGTTTTGTTTTCTAAATTGAATAGTTTGGTTATGAAACTTTGACTGTTCTTAATTACTAACTTACTCACTTACGCCCGTTACTCCTAATGGAGCAAAGGCCGCAGATCAGCATTCTCCAAACTACTACGACCTAGGCCTTCTTTTCCAGTTCCATCCAATTCTTGTTCATTTTTCTCATGTCTATCTCCATTTCCCGGCGTAATGTGTAATTTGGTCTTCCTCTTCTCCTTTGACCTACAGGATACCATGTGATGAGGGCTTACTTTGTGACGCAGTTGGATGCTTTCCTCAATGTGTGTCCTAACCACTTCCAGCGCTTCTTTTTGATTTCTTCCTTCACTGGGATCTGGTTTGTTCTGTGCCATAGTAGGTTGTTGCTAATAGTGTCCGGTCAACGGATCCGAAGTATTTTGCGTAGACAATTGTTATTTAAAAATTATTCAAACCTATAAACTTTCATTGTTCACCTGAATAATATCATCAGTATAAACTTCAAGTAGAAGTGAAATGTTTGAATTTCTCTACAGATATGACTCACAAATTGTCCTGTCAACGTTAATCTTGATTGATTACTGTTGATCTTTCATCTGTCTTTACTATGATTGTATATCTTATTGTTTTGATCCTTGATGATTATGTTGTTTATAAGAACAATAAAAGTTCCATGATTAAACCATCCAGATCATAGAACAAAACTCTATTGAAGTTATTTATCAGATATATAAATCTTCTTCACTATCTCAAAATGGAAAGATCGATTAATGATTAACTGAAGGATATATTTCTAACTTCATTCAATTCAAAAGTAACATATATTGCTTTAATAGGACCAAAGGTTTTAGCGTTTGGCTCCTGGATGCGTGGTCGATCATATGTACTCATAATTAAATTCATACTAGGACAAAACGGTCACCCAGTTTCTTCAGGTCTTTAATGGGATCTATTTTGCAAACGCAACAACAAATGCAGGAGAAAACGACTAGTGTAGCAGTAGCCTCAGCAGCAGTAGGTCTCAATATACACAAAGAGAAAAGCAAGATTCTCGAATACAGCACAACATACACCAATCTAATATCATATTTGGGTAGCATCATTAATGAACATGGTGGATTTGATGCGGATGTGAAAGCGCGGATCTGCAAAGCAAGAGCAACATATTTACAACTGAAGGACATCTGGTACTCAGAACAACTGTTTGTCAACTAACACCAAGGTCAGGATTTTCAATACAAATGTCAAGGCAGTTCTACTGAATGGGGCGGAAACCTGGAGAACTACGAAAGTCATCATCCAGAAGATACGAGTGTCCAATAACAGTTGTCTACGCAAAATACTTCAGATCCATTGTCCGGAGACTATCAGCAACAACCTACTATGAGAGAGAACAAACCAGATCTCAGTGGAGGAAGAAATCAGGTAGAAACGCTGGAAGTGGATAGGACATACATTGAGGAAAGCACCCAACTGCGTAACAAGAAAACCCCTCACATGGAATCCTCAAAGCCAAAGGAAAAGAGGAAGACCAAATTACACATTACGCAGGGAGATAGAGATCGACATAAGAAAGATGAACAACAATTGGATAGAACTAGAAAAGAGGGCCCAGGACGTATTGGGTTGGAGAATGCTGGTCGGCGGCCTATGCTCCTTTAGAAGTAACAGGCGTAAGTAAGCAAGCAAGTAAGTTCAGATCAGTTAGTGCTTTAAAATATGAAAATTCTACATTCTCTACAAATCCCTCACACTAATATTTATTTGTTACACACATTTGTTATTATAAAATAAAGCTAGACAGTTATAGTATCAGGATATAAAATGATCGGAGATAGTTTGGGAAACACTCTTTATTGACCAAAGTCCCCTGATAGCTGGAACTCATCATACAAGTTGTACCTGCTATCTTGAAGAAACCAATGTTATTCCTACTGTGAGATTACAGTCACTTTAAGAAAATAGAGTGCATACAATGTCAACTTTGATAAGTTGCCATAGACTACAAGTTGATTCATTGATTTTTCAACAACATTAAAAAACTGGACAAAAATGACATTCGTCAATGTGATGTGTGCTACTGATGTCGATAGTAGTATGTGTCATCAATCGAAAGTGGAATGTCTGATGAGAGAAAGTTAAGCAGTAACAAGAACAGAGAGCGATCGATATGCAAATGAAGGAACAGTGTTGTCTGAGACGATTGATTGAAATTTTGCAAATGTATTATTTACTGTATGGTCCATGGATTCTACTAATAGGTTCTGTAGTTCTTTTTATTCACATACGTTCGGTTGTTCCGAACTTGTGTTCTCATTCACTACAATCATTAGTGCGTGATCATTCAATTTAAAGATATACGCTAATCAAAATGATAGTCTTACTGAATTTTTAAGATGGTGATCAGAGGTAGTCAAAAAGGAAACTCTGAACCTATGTTTCGTGCTACTCGGCAGTCGTCAGCATGGTATAACCGTAATCTTGAAGGAACTGATACTCTCTGGTGGATTTGATCCCGTTTCACCCAGCTTCACAGTCAGAGACGTTACCATTACGTAATAAGAAAGACCTGACACACATATCACTGATCGTCATCTAGTGATCAATCAACTGTGAATACATATCAGTCCTACAGGAGATAGGTCGCGCCCCGGTTAGCCCAGTGGTAACGTCTTTGACTGAGAAGCTAGGTGACATAAGATCGAGTACGTCAGGGACTATCAGTTCCTTCAGGATTAGAGATACACTTTATTGACGGATGCCAAGTAACATAAAACCTAGTTCCAGATATTCCTTTTGACTACGTCCAACCACATCATCTTATCTTTAACATAGTGCACATAATGTCGAGTCACCTAGACTAATGACCATATTGCAGTTTGATTTGTATTAAGAAAAGTAGCATCTGACATATATAATCATTGATCATCATCCAGTGATCAATCAATTGTAAACTATAATTTTTAAACATGGAACTACATGAAAAATTCCATTCCTAGTTTGTTTGTTGGTTTTTTTTTGGTTCTTTTCTTAACACATCACATGGATACATCATGCAGTTTTAACAACATCATATGAAAATGAATATTGAAAAAACGTTTTTTTTTCTTGTTTTAGTTAGTTGGATAAATCTAGATGATCTAGAATTTTTTTAGGTTGAACTTTGTATTCATTGAATTAAATGTGGAAATTCACTGAATATTGTTTAGATGGTGGTTGGAGGTAGTCGACAAGAAACTCTGGACCAGGGTTTCGTGCTACTTGGCACTCTTCGTCAAGGTGTACCTGTAATCTTGAGGGAGCTGGTGCTCTCTGACGGATTCGATCTCGTATCACCCAGCTTCACAATCACTGAACTATCCGAGCCACGACCGACCTCCTGTAGGACTGAGATGTAATCACAGTTGATTGTTTGTTTAAATCTTCCTATTGATGTTTAGAATCTCAATTAGTCAGTCTCTTATTGGAATATATGGTTATCAAGTCTCAGTAGGTAAGTGAATAACTCGATGGCATTTTAAAAGAACGAATACTGAGTTCCAGTTCCAGAGTGAACATCAACTCTGAGATACAAATATATGCAGCTGATAAGTCTTAAATAAGATGAAATGTGCTTCAAATTAAATCCCATTTCTAATCACTATCCATCACAATTGATTGATCACTAGGTGGTGATCAATAATTATGTATGTCAGGTGAGACGGGACAGAATTCGCCAGGGAGCACCAGTTCCCTCAAGATTACAAGTACACCTTGCTGGCAAGTGTCAAGTAGTACGAAACCCGGGTACAAGGTATCCTGTCAACTACCCCCAACCACCATCCAGTTACTAACCATATTTACTTAATAATAATAATAATAATAATAATAATAATAATAATAATAATAATAATCTATATTATTAACTTACTATGTGGTGTCATTGGTATATTAATTTTCCCATTTAGTTTTAATAATTCATTATCATTTTGTTGTTGATTATTATTTAATTTTTGTGATTCAATTAATATTGATTTTTCTTTGAATTTCTCCCTGATTACATCATCGGTATATAATTGATTACCGTTACTATTATTAGTATTATTACTATTATTATTAGTATTATTAGTAGTATTATTATTAGTAGTATTTAATGGTATAATTAATTCACGATTTGAAATATCTTTCAATTGTATTCCATTATCATAATCACTATGCTGAGTGAATTGTTGACTATGTTGATATCGTCTTGATGATGATAATGATGGTGTATATTCATTAGGATTATTGAGTTTTAAAGAAAGATTATCTTTTGATTGTTGATTCATATTTGACCCATTCATTATTGTTGCTGGGGCTTTTTCATTTAAATATAATTTAGTATCTGGGTATTTTGTTATAACATTTTGTGTATTTTGAATCGATAATAATGATGATAATGAGGTATCATTTGTATCTGATTGTAATTGATTGAATTTACATTTGATTGTTTTATTGTAATCATTCATTGAATCATTATTAGATTGTATGAGAGATTTGGTATTTTTAACCTTTTTATTATTATTATTATTAGTAATAGAAGTATTATTAGTAGTATTATTATTGTGTAATGAAGAAATTCGATTTGAGTTTACAAGTGAATTATCAACGGAAAATTTAGATTTAGCTTCAGGTAAACTAAAAATTTCAGTTTGTTCCATTGGTACCGTATCGAATTGACAGTGTAACTTGAAAACAATAATACACAACAACAAGGAAACACACAATAATGTCATGAGTATGGCATAACTTCATGGTTTCAAATAAATTGGATATTGAGTAGTTGTTATTATATATATATACAGTTAATCGAGTATGAGATCGAAAGTCCTGAGTTCGAGTCCTTTTAGTGAGGGATCACGGATTCGCACTAATGAGGAGTCGTCTCATAATAAAACGAATTGGCTGTCCAGTGCTTCCAGGTTTTTTAATGATGGTCTAACATCAATCGGTTCATGATATCAATTAAAAAACTTAATAATCTTCACAAACCTATCTTGATGATTATTGGGTAGTTGTTATTATTAGAAATAATATATTTAATCGAGTATGCGTATTCATGAGGAGTCCCATAATAAAATCAGTCGGCCGTTCAAATCTTCCAGATTTTGAATGATGATCTAGCTTACACAGACTCATGAATTCAACTATTAAAATAAATTATATCTCTGAAGAAGTGGCTTGAACTGAGTTAAGAAACGTCAGAAATTTATTCGGAAGACTAAACAGTCGGTACATTGTATAATATTTAAGAAGAAATAACAAACTGTTTTGATGAAAGATTGACATTATAGTAGTTATGTAACAATCAATAAAGAGGAACATAGAAACCTTAATTCTCGTATCAGTTATAAAATAGTGCATTCTTAGATGCTCGGTGAATGTTCACTTTTGATTTAAGTATCATTATTGTAGACAATTGAATATTGTATCTATGACGTCACCATTGGACAGAATTTCTTCTTGTAGAACTGAAAGATGGATTAGTTCTTCTTTATCACTAAATTCGATACAAAAAAAGTTTATATTCCTTATGTATCGAACATTTGTAAATGATCTTAGTATTATCAGAAAATTGTATCTTTGGATAATACAGCACCTTAATAGTTGAGTTCATGAGTTAATTGAGGCTAGATCATTATGGAAAACCTAGAAGCACTGAACGGCCGTTTCTCCCTAGTATGAGACTCTTGAGTAGTGTGTATCCACGATCCTGCACACGAGATTCAGACCCAGGACTTATTGGTCTCTCGCGCGAACACCTAATATTTAGACTATTGACCCGGCATCCAATGGTGTTAATGTCTAACCTCAACCAATCCACGAAATTGCGCCACCATCTTCTATTGTACAGAAGTTTTCAATGGTGGTCTAACATCAATCTCCACAACCCTATACTGATAAACATATTTTTAATTGTCATTTAGTTAAATAATCAGGGATGTTGACAATTAGACGGTTTAGATTCTTTAATCAGTTCACTGATGTTCAACTAATACAATCTAATGAAATTAATTATTCAACATCATCATTAGTATTTCTCTTATAAAATACTACTTAATCATGATACCTAGAAGTACTATATAAATTCAAACAAAAAAACCCATTTATCTAATCATTGAATTAGAACAATGACTTATGTTGATAATGGCATCAATCATTTCATCAATGAAATTCATTTAGAAATTTTAAAGTTAACTCTCTAACTATAATTTCTTTGTAAGCAATGATGGATAGTGTCTATCAGTGGAATCCAGGACTCGCGTTTCATCCTATTTGGGACTCGTCAGCTGGATGTACCTGCATCTCAGAGTCAATGTTCATTCTGGGACTCGAGCCGACAACTGTCCGCTTTTAACACCATCGCGTTATCTACTCAGCTACTGAGTCCTGATAGCCACTTGCTTGTGCAGTAGGGTGAATTTCAATTCACTTGGTATTATTTGACTTGTATCTTCCCATTGAGGTTTAAGACTGCAATTGATCAGTCTGTTATCGGCATATGTGCATACTGTGTGTATGCCTCGATATTGCCTTAATTCACAAGCTTTTTGTAAGCAATGATGGATAATGGCTAGCAGTGGAATCCAGGACGCGGTCTCAAACCTCAATGGGTAAATACAATCCAAATAATACCAAATGAATTGTATCTAACTATAAGTTTTGGATTCATTTTCCAAAGAATGAAGGTTATTGAAAATTTTCAACTTGATGGTTTACCGTAATTTGATTCTGACCATATCCCAACAGTATTAGCTTTAATCGACTAAACTTGTTAAGACATATAATTATATATGCTTCATTATTACTCAAATCGAAGTACATTATTTATTGGTATAAAGTTAGAATGGATGAAAGATAAGGGAGATTAAATCAAAATGTGAAGTCAGTTGTTGACTGTTGGTTTGAGTCATGAAGGTAAGTAAAGACTGTTTAGTTAGAATTGAGTTAAACGGCTAGAAACGTTAGATGATATGGCTAATCACAATTGATTACTCACTGGGTGGTGATCGATGTCATGTGTGTTAAGTTCTTATTATTAGTGCAGATCGAATGCTATCGATCATGTTGCAATGTGGTCACCAGTCTAAGTGACTCAACACTGTGTCCACTGTATATTGAGATTAGATGTTGGTTGGAGGTAGTCGACAGGAAAACCTGTCTAAAAATCAGTTCAAATTCGATAGATGTATTCAAACATTATTATCATTCACATCTTGAGTTCAAACATTTTACTCTTTCATTCTGTGTTTTGAAGCTAAATTCTTAATGTTTAATCTTCCACAACATATTTTATTTCTACTTCTTTGATATTCATTCTATTGAATAGTCCTTTGAAAAAACTCATTTTGACAGTGATGTTTCTTCACAAACTGATCTTATTTAAGGTACCAATAAAGAAAAAGTATAAAATGATGGATAGTTGTTTTGTCCTGGTAACACACTCTTTAACAATTAGCTTTCTTGAATCCATGTTTTATTAATTACTTCCGCTTGTTACTCCCAATAGAGCATAGACCGCCGACTAGAATTCTCCAATCCACTATGTCCCGCACCTTCCTTTCCAGTTCTAGCCATTTTTTGTTCATTTTTCTCATGCCTGTTTCCATTTCCCGGCGTATTGTGTTCTTTGGACTTCCTCTTCTCCTTTGACCTTGAGGATACCAAGTGATGAGGGCTTACCTTGTGACACAGTTGGATGCTTTCCTCAATGTGTGTCCTACCCACTTCCATCGCTTCTTCTTGATTTCTTCCTTCACTAGGATCTGGTTTGTTCTCTCACACAGTACGTTGTTGCTAATAGTCTCCGGCCAATGGATCCGAAGTATTTTACGTAGACAACTGTTGTTGAACACTTTTATCCACTGAATGATGGCTTTCGTAATTCTCCAAGTTTCCACCCCATACAGTAGAACATACATATATATCTATATACAAACATCAAAAAAAGAACACCAACTCATTTAATCCTTTTATAAACTTACCGCTTTATTTGATGATAAATATTGATTAATCAATGGACAATGATTTACTATAGCACTAAATGACATTCCTTTTGATTGTTGTTGTTGGTGTTGTTGTTGTTGTTCTATTCTACGTCTACCAGTAATAAATGATTTAGTATGATTGAATGCTTTTTCACGAAACCAAAATCCTCCACCAATTTTATTATGTTGATAAGAATTCATTAAACTCATTTTATGTTTTAATTCTTGATCAGATTTCCAATTTTTCATTGTTAATAAATTCCAATTTGTTGATAAAATTTCATCATATTTTGTACGATTTGAATTCATAGCAACTTTTGGTAACCAACAAGTGGATTGAATTGAATCTTGCCAATGATTATGATTATTATTATTATTATTATTATTATTATTATTATTGTTATTATTATTGATAGATTGATTACGTTGACTATGACATCGATTACTTAGATCATCATCATGATCATCATGATCATGATCATCATCATCATTGTCATTATTACTACTACTTATACATAGATCATGTTGTAATGTTTGTGAATTATTCACATTGATTTCATTAAGTCCTATTAATGGTGGAACTAATTTCGATAGATATTTTGTTGTATTATGATGAATTGATTGTTTACTTGATGATATTAAATGATCTGATAAATTGTCAAGTGAACTATTCGTTGTAGTAATCGAAGAAGTTGTAGTACTTGTAGTAGTTGTAGTAGTAGTAGTAGTCGTCGAAGTGATATTTATCGATTTTGATTTGTCATTTTGATCAATTTCATAATGAATAGACCGATTTAATAATGGATTATGATCATTATCAGTATTATTAGTAGTATTAGTAGTAGTATTTAATACTTGTGATTTTGATGTATTGAAATCGGAATTTTGTAATAACAATGATTGTCTATGATTTCGTTGATTAGTTTGATGACGATGTTGTTGATGAAGACTATTAGTACTATTACTATTACTGTTACTATGATTCTCTAAAGTGATATATTTTACAAATGAATTCTCTTGTCTATAGGTTGGTAATACATATTTATTCAATGATAAATTATCTTGTGAACGTAATCCCTGGATATAGAAATAGAAAGAAACAAGATTGAAATAGGAGGAGAATGAAATATGTAGAGATTGTTGGTTACTATGTGTGTGTGTCTATTTCTAAGTATCAAAGAATACCAAATAATACCCACATGTATCTATCTATCTATCTATGTGTATGCCGTTAGTAACACATACATGCACACATAGTTTCTCTTACGAGCTATTGGAAACAAACTTAAAATCCGTGTTTTTTAAGAACAAAAGAAAACTTTCTTTTTTTTAATATCAAGTCATGCGAAACTATAAATCACAGGTGCTCCATCTATTCAATAATTAGTCAAACACACATATATACATAGTGACAAGTACACTATTTAATAGTAGTTATATAAGTAGTATATGCAAAAGTAGTATTTGTTGTTCCACTTGTTCTTGTTGTCTGAATCACATTTTATTTACGCATAGTCTCAGTCAGTCAGTCATTAACAACGTAGAACTTCGTACGCACGTACATCAGATCGAGTTGCCACACCACATTAGCACAGAGATGCAGTGGTGGATTCAAATTCCGTAGTGGCAGAGGTAATAAGAGTATAAGCAGTAATCGGGAAGATTAGTGTTTGGAGATGTTACTAAAAGAGTATAATACAGTGAAATAGTGAAATATAAATGATTTCTAATTGTTAATTATTGTGAATTGAATTATTGGAATCTAACTGAAAATATAACTATGAAATTATTTATCGTTCAACAAATATGGATGAGAATACATTTATATTCTAGTATTCGATTATAGATGTCTTCAAAACATTGCTCGTATATCCTGGAACCATCGAGCAAGTAATGCAGTTATTAGAAAACGGGTACTAGGTAAGGATGACAAATCCATTGATGAAGTAATGAAACTTCATCAGTTGAGATGGCTGCAACATGTGTTACATATACCCAACCACCGACTATCCTAACGATGCATGTTTTATGGTGTAGGAGTAAGTCGGAAGAAAGATAGGGACGACCAGATCAAAACATAACACAAATTCATGAAGTCACTGACAAGTGGACTGAATCATGTTGGTAGGTGTAGATTACCTGTTTGGGACCCGCAAGACGATTGCAACTGATTGTTAGATACCTTGAATGTGACATTGCTCGAAATCGTTTGCCATGGCGCAGGTGTATCCACTATTTCTGTTCTCTCAAATTCTAATCTTCTCAATTCTTCATGTCCCTTTCCTTTTTCTCTTCCCAAATTAATTTCACTGGATTATACTCCTTGAATAACATCTTCAAACCCTAATCTTTGCTATTACTGCTTATACTCTTACTACCATTACCATTATGGTATTTTCAATCGACAATTGTATCTGTGTGGAAATGTGGTATTGCAAGTCGAACTGATGTATGTATATAAGCACGGAGTTCTACGTTATTGCTGACTGATATTCCAGGTTTTCCATTCCCAGTCTGATCCCGATCAACTATTTATTGCATTAAATATCAATTCATTATAAACTCAGCTAATTTTCGAATATAGCATTCCAGTTTTCATATCGTTCAAACGATCAAAATTAACAGGGGCTTTGAACATAGCTTTATATCTATAGCGTTATCACCCTTTCGGATATCACATTAGCTATGTAAATGAAACAGTTAAATAAGAAAATGTGAATTATTAAACGAATGAAATATTTGATTTGTTAATAATCTACACAACTATATACCGATGAATATCATGTGCTCACAAGTGACTAACTTCTAGAAGTAATTTTTGGAGATCTAGTGAAAAGCTATGGTCAGTGGAGTTCAATCCATGTCCTGTTTGAGGTAGTTACCCAGTCAAGTTAATGGAAGATAGTCCCACTGTGGTGTGTGCTACTTATATTGACATAAGTAGCATGTGATGTTAGTCGGGAACAGAAAGTCTGACAGCAGAGAGACAAGAGGATCGAACAGTAAAGAATGAAAACAAGATGTAATTTGTATGAAAATGCAAGAAAAATGAAGTCTGAATCACCTAGGCTGGTGGCCACATTGCAACATGGTCGATAGCATTCGATCTGCACTAATAAGAACTAGACACGCATGACATTGATCACCACCCAGTGATCAATCAATTATGATTACATCTCAGACCTACAGGAGGTCGGTCGCGGCCCAGATAGCTCAGTGGTAACGTCTCTGACTGTGGAGCTGGTTGGCACGGGATGGAATCCGCCAGGGAGCACCAGTTCCCTCAAGATTTCAGGTTCACCTTGCTGACGAGTGGCAAGTATCACGAAACCCGGGTCGAGGGTTGCCTGTCAACTACCTCCAACCACAATCTGAAGTCTGAGTCATTTTGAGACAATTGATTGACATTTTGCAAATTAAGCATTTACTTTATGATTGTTAGATTTTATTAACATGTCCTGTAATTTTATGTTAAATACATTTGATTGTCCTCCACTGGTGTTTTTGTTCACTACAGCACAATATCGTGTATTGGTTGAAGTTAGATATTAAAACAGTTGAATGGTGGCTCATTCGTCTAGAGGTAAAGTGTTCACGTAGGAAGCAGAAAGTCCTGGATTCGAGTATCTTTGGTGTGTCATCGTGGATAAGCAGTTCTGATGGTTCCTATACTAAAATAAAGAGGTCATTCAGTGCTTTCAGGTCTTCAATGATGTTTTAACGTTGACCGACACATGATCTCAGTTAAAAATCAGCAATCTTCACAATCTTATACTCATCATTTTCGTTATACGCGATGATAATGAATGAAGTCTCTTGTAATGGATTTTAGATTAAATACTTCTCTAAAATCTCAATGATTCTCTTCGTTTATATCTTCAGATTAGTGGTGAGAATCCCTTAACTTTCGTAATGTGCTATGATGTACAATCCAATTTGGTCGTAGTGTAGTGGACGAAAACTCAGGTTTGGAAAATCAATTTACCGTCTAATGTAAATTCACACACACCGACATCATAAAATATGAAAATTATACATAAAATACATCGTTTGCGCATTTTCTATGCGTTGCTCTTTACATGCTCCATTATTTCTTTAATTCTGATGTTATTTTGATTGTCCACTGTTTCTCTTCCTGTTCTTCCCATTTCAATCTTTTTTTTCAAGACAATCCACTTTCGATTGGTGCTATATACTACTTATATTGTCAGTATAAGTAGCATACATCACAATAATATAGGAATTTCCTAACATTCAACCGAGTCAGTTATATCACTGAGAATAATAATAATAATAATAATAATAATAATAATAACAGCAACTATTATTATTATTATTATTATTAATAGTTTATACTTTAATCAACTTTAATTGTGGCATAGCAACGTACTACTAATTACCAACAAAAAAAAAGGTATATTTTTTAGTGTCATTATTAATTATTAATGAATTCCTTTTTACTAATCATAAAAGAACAGATTTCATTAGATTGAATGAATTCAATCAACGACAACAACAAAAAAAGAAAAATTAATTGTAACCACTTGGAATCAATAAGATAAATGAACTTTCATCTTGATTGAATCAATATTGTCACAATAAAGTTAACAATCAAAATGATTGAATCAATCTTACACTCTCTCCATAAATAGATAAATAGATACATAGATAAATAGATAGATAGATTGATGTGTGGATAGATAGATAGATAGATAGATGTGTGGATAGATAGATGTGTGAATAGATAGATAGATAGATAGATAGATAGATAGGTAGATAGATAGATAGATAGATACATAGATAGGTAGGTAGATAGGTAGATAGTTAGATAGATAGATAGATAGATAGGTAGGTAGGTAGATGGGTAGATAGATAGATAGATAGATGTGTGGATAGATAGATGTGTGAATAGATAGATAGATAGATAGGTAGGTAGATGGGTAGATAGATAGATAGATAGATAGATAGATAGATAGATGTGTGGATAGATAGATGTGTGAATAGATAGATAGATAGATAGATAGATAGGTAGATAGGTAGATAGGTAGATAGATAGATAGATAGATAGATAGATAGATAGATAGTGGATACGATCTTTTGTATTCAATCCATTTCTGAATAGTGATTGTTTTTCGAAATCAGTAAAATAAGACTATTGCTGATATATTGCATATTATCAATGATAATATTTCGATATGATTGTTGAGTTGACATCTTGTGAAAGTACTGACCGACTACTTGTTACATACATCCTACGAATAGAACTAGTGACTTGCCTTTGTATTAATTAACAAAGACTAATACAACTTGATGTAAGGAAGACAACTAAGCTGAGGATAAGGATTTATTCCCATGTAGAATATTTCCCTTTCTGAATAGAATCTAAACTATAATAGAATCCGAGAGTAAAATCAGGAAGTTATAAATAACACAGAAACCAACACAATTATACATTGAGTCAATTTACCACATCACTTTAGTAGAACAAGACGAAATCATCAAACTATATACCAAATTGATCATTATAGTGATATTCGACTGAATATTAGAACAATACTGATTCAATATACACTTAACTATTCATTTATACTCATAGAACCTTAAGTCTATATTGTTTATTGCGGCATAAAATTCATCATTACTCTAATTAACTTCTAATAAAACTTCGAGAAAAAGAAAAAACAACATAAGCAAATGATGCATTTGATGACATTGCATAACATTTATTAAACATTAGCTTAGTAATGGATCTACATTGTAATCAAGGCATTACATAATATTGATTGATTTATACCCTAGAGACATCACAAGTTTTCTTTAAAGGGTGGAAAAATGAAAACTTTCAATACATTTATGTATAATTTTGATTTCTACAGAGATGTATATTATCGATTCACCCTCAATCCTTTAATAAAAAACCAAACATTATGATGTAACAGCAACTCAAACTGAAACAATTTGACGCGTAATATCATGGATTGATTAAAGTTAGGCGTTAAAACTGTCAGATTCAAATTCAGTATTCTAAAAGCTAAGTGTTCACATATGAAACCGAAAGTTCTGGGTTCGAATTCGACGTGCGGTATCATGTATGTGTACTGCTGAACAGTTCTATACTAGCACGAAATGACCATTGAGTACTCACAAGTTTTCAAGATTCTTTTAACATTGAAACTATTTTGATGGACTTTTATTCGATATATTCTTACTATATAATTACTAAACAACTGAAGTATTACATATTTCAATATTCTGTACGATTGTAAACTTCCAAATGACCAATTAACAGTAACTATAAGATTTAGTCCACTTGGTATTGCTTGATTAAATCTTCCCATTGTTGTGCACGACTGAAGTTGATCAGTCTCTTATTGACATATGTACTTCCTGTACGAATTGCCCTGATATAGCCTTAATTCACACGCATTATGTACAAAGATGGATAATGACTAGCAGTGGAATCCAGTTTAAAGCTCGTTTCGTCCTATTTGGGACTCGTCAGCTTGATATACCTGCGTCCCAGCGTTGATTTTCAATCTGCGATTCAAACTTAGTACCGTTCGCTTCAAACGCCATCACGTTATCCACTTAGCTACCCCATTGCAAAAGCAAGTGGATATCAGTACTCAATAGCTAAGTGAATAACGTGATGGTGTTAGAAACGGACAGTACTGTTCTCGAGCCTCAGAATGAACATTGACTCTGAGATGCAGGTATTTCCAGCTGACGAGTACCAAATAGGATGAAACACACGTCCTGGATTCCACTGTTTTCCACTATCCACCTTTGTATATACGTTATAGTAACTCAAAAATTTATTAATCAATTACTTACCACTTGCTCGATTCACTGTCACTTCTGATCTATTTGTACATAACTATGATTTTCTATTTTATGTTACGGTTCAACCCACTATGTTTTCATATGAAACCATGTATTCTTGCAATAGTAATAATAATATTAATGATAGACACTTGGCTTATATTTCTTATTCAGACTCAAGATTGGTAATCAAAGGACCAATAGTGGTTAAGTGAACGTTAGCTTCAATTATATCGGTCAGAATGTATCACATGTCTAGGCTTTGGATACTAAACTAATGATTAATGCTAAACAAATTCTAATCATGAAAAATACTATTAAGTACATTCATTAAATTTTTCTTATTGGAGATATTTATCATTGTTTCTAGTTAATTTAACTAATTTAAATAATATTTATCCAAATTAGATCTTGGAATCAATTCCCGGTCTTCAGGTTATCAGTCGTCAACAACGTAGAACTCCGTACGTACGTACGTACATCAGTTTAAGTTGACATACCACATTTCCACACAGATACAATGGTCGATTGAAAATATCATAATGGTAGTGGTAGTATGAGTATAAGCAGAAATAGCAAAGATTAGATTTTGAAGATGTTATTCAAGGAGTATAATATAGTGAAATTAATTTGGGAAGAGAAAAAAAAAGAGACAAACAGGCTTCAGGAAATTAGGATTTGGGAGAGCACAAAGAGTGTATGCACCTGAGCCATTGCAAACGATTTTGAGCAATGTCACATTCAAGGTCTTTAACCACCACTTTCAATCGTCTTGCGAATCCCAACCAGATAATCTACATCTACCAACATGGCTCAGTCCACTTGTCAGTGACTTCATGAACTTGTGCCATGTTTTGATCTGGCTGTCCCTATCTTTCTTCCAACTTACTCCTACACCATAAAACATCGCTTGTTGGGGCATTCAGTGGTTTGACATGCGTAACACATGTTCCAGCCATCTCAACTGATGAAGTCGCACCATTTCATCAACTGATTTGTCATCCTTATCTTGTACCAGTTTCCTAACAACTGTGTTACTTACTCGATGGTTTCAGGATATACGAGCAATATTTTCAAGACAACTATGATCGAATACTACTAACCTACGGATATCCTCAACTCTTATCGGCCATGTCTCGCAGCCATAATGTAGAACTTCAGGTTATAGATACGTATTGTTGGAGAATCCTTTACTAGAACAAAACAGCCATGAACTACTTCCACATTTTCATTGATGATCTAACTTAAATCTATTAATAATTTCAATAATTAACTGATTTACATATAACTAAAGAAAATTCCATCTAATCTATTCATCTATACTTGTACAATATCAATGATCACAGATATAAAATTAGTGATAAGCAATATAGATCAATATCGTAGCTCAAATATATGTCAGTTAATTCGTGAAGGGAGGGGGGGGGGAGCAAGGAGATAAGGTTGAAATATGAACCAACATATTTTCACGAGTGAAATCATTAATTTGCATAGTTCTATGTTATGATAATGTTTTGTGCAATTGTGAATGATCGGAGAGAGAGAGAGAGAGAGAGAGAGAGAATTACACATTTCTAAGGCTACTAGGTCACCTTATTACGTGTTAGAAACATTGAATGAAAACTGTAAAAATGTTACATTTGAAGAGAACATAATAGACAGGTTCAAACTATAGTTAGAAACCAGAAAAAAACAGTTTATCTATTATGAGTAAACGGTTGAATGACCTGATTATGTGAATATTCTTAGATGAATTTTGATTAATCTTGGTCGGTAAATATAGATAATGAATGAATTGACACCATATAGCTATTTAGTTATGAATTTTTGTAGATTAGATAAATTATGGAAAGCATTAAAATCTATAAGGCTCCTTTCACTCTGTATTCTTACTCCAATGTTAGAAATGTTGACGACAACAAACTCCAGAACTAGGTTTCGTGCTATTTGCCACTCGTCACCAAGGTGAACTTGTAATCTTTAGAGAACTAGTGCTCGTTGATGGTGGATTTTATCCCATGTTACCTAGTTTAGCCAGCAACCGAAAATGTCAAGTTATTTAGGCTAGCGTCCACATTGCAACATGATCGAAAGAATTTTATCAGCACTAAGAAGGACCTGACATATGTGACACTGATCACTACCCTGTGATCAATAAATTGTAGCACATAGGCCAGAGAAGCCATTATAATCAATTTTAGAATTTTGTTCTCTGATCTGGATGGTTCGGTCGTGAAGTGTTCATCGTTCAGAAGAACGACATCATCGGCACAAACTTCAGGTGGGAGCTGATGATGGCGTTTAGAAGAACAATGTAAGCTCCACGACCAAACCATTCAGCTCAGAGAACAAAACTCCATTAAAATCAGCCACCTGAGCTACAAATCTTCCCCACCATCTCACTATAATCAGTCTTAAGCAAATTAAAGGACAAAAAATGGCAGAAAGAAAAACTGAACATGTTCTACGGAGCAAACTGTTATAAGTATCACATCGTATCCGTGAAAACCAATGGCCTATCTTACTATAAAATATATCGTTCATATATATTTAGGAAATTTTGGTTGGATGTTCACCTAGAATAGAGACAACGCATAGAAGACCAGATTATTTTTAGGGACATTACACTTGGGTTAATCAACAATCAATTAATATACCAAAATCGATTCAAGATATCAACCCATTAGAAAACCCAGTTCTAAAGGGGGTAACAAATGAAGTAACTATGGAAACGATGACTAGACAAAGATAAACAACAATTAAGCAAAAGAAAGATCAACAGAACAAGGTGTCAATCATATGTGGTAAAATTCCGATAGTTCACTTTTTTCGTCCAAAGAGATGCTAAAAGCTTCACGAATAAACCGCTCAGTACAGATAATGAAAGTCTATTAAAGTTCTAAGTTATTCGACAGGTAGAAGCAACAAAGTTTTACCAATATACCAAAAGTGTATAACAATAAAAAGTATTATATATAATCGATAATTATGAGATTGCTATAAGATGGTTTAACCGACTCTAAAGAAGTGAGAATAGCTACAGTTTCACATATGTTGCTGAACCTTACTAAACTAACAGACTAACTTGAACTAGTTGTCCAAACAACAATCTCCACGATATCATAGTGATAATTATCAATTGCTCATTAGTGATCAGCCTCATGAAAAAATGTCCAGATCTTTAGGAAGAAGCTATGATTAGTGGAGTTCAATGGACATGATTGAGCAGTATCGTGTGTTGATTGATGCTTAACTTGTATACTATCGGATACCGGTCCAATGGTCTTAAGGTTGAGTATATACGCTTGAGACCGAAATTTAAGGGTTATATTCCCGGTTGCGAAGTCGTACGTGTATAACGCTGAAACGTCCTAGACTGAGTTAACTTGGCTATCCAGTGCTTTCACGTTTTAATGGTTATTTAATTTAGATCATTTTATGTTCCATAATAAAATTCAACAATCTCCGTAACCTCATACTGATATTTGATTCTATTCACATGTCCCACCATTATTAGACAAACAAATTTCACATTATAATATCCAGTTTTTTATTCATTCAAACATATAAACATTGGTACAAGGGGGCACCAAATAGATATGAGCCACCTAAATCATTCAATTTGTGTAAGGCCTGGGATACTGTCCGGGTGCTCAAACCGAACCAGGTGGTTTTCTTAAGGGGCCAAACCCGGAGCCTTTGATTTAAAGGTTTGATCCAAAAGGCTGTAGAACAACGTCAGGAGATGCAGTCCTATGGTAGACGGTGACTAACAATAAGTTCATGCGCCATTTGTTCCTTCAGGATACTGGAGTCAATATGCACCAGTGGTTTGTAATCAGGGTTTTCCACCTTTCATAGGTGAACTCTTCCTGTTCACCAACCTGGTTAAAGCCCCGTACATTCACTTTTCGTCCTCTCAATTTCGCGAACAGCAATAATGCCGTGAGAAGGCAACGAGTATGTTTGCCGGAATATTGATTCTCCAAACGGAAATCCTTATCGGTTAGCAGTAGAATTCATGATATAATTTTTTTCTTATTCAGATGAGTAGGTTCAAGTCCAAGTGTGAAAATATTCACTGAAATGAAATGATATTCAGTTGACGAATACCAATGAGGACAAAACAGATGTTTGAGATCTCTCTGCTACCTAGTATTCATCTTTACTTCGATCATTGTGACTTAATAGCAACATTCAGGGAACTCGTATATGAATCAAAAGAGAAATTCTCGAAGATTTATTCAATAAAAACAAATATGTCAGTGAAGTTCACAAGTATTGTAGTATCATGGCGGATTTGAAGATATGTAAACTTTCTTATCTAACATACAGAAGTTTATTATTGATATTTTTGATAATATAATTATTATGTACCTGGATTATTGTGTTACTGTATTCCCCGTATTCAAAGCTTCCGACTGATGTATTAACTGTTGACGTCCACATATGGAAGCCGTTTCAGCTATGTTATTGTTTTATGTTGTTTCACGAATCGTGTGCATAGACGATTTTCATAAATTTCTTTTTCAGTATAGAAAGGTGGAGATTATTAAGTTTTTGATTGAGATCATGAATCGATTGGTGTTAGACAACCATTGAAAACGTGGAATAACTGGGTGGCTGTTTCGTTCCATTGTGGGACTCCTCCGTGGCAGTGCGCATCCACTGTCATAATTCTGAGTTTAATTTAGTAGTGAATTATTGTAAATAGAAAATGTGTAATTAATCAGTTAGAATACTATTGGAAAGTTTTTAATGGATATGAATGTGGTTTTCTTCTTTCATAAACCGTCATTTAAATACCTTAGCTATCTAGATTTTGAATTGATTAGAATTAGACAATTAATGAAAGCCAACAAAAACACTGAACATTCGTTTTATCCTGGTCAGGAACTTCTCAGCAGTAGTGCACATCTACAAACCCACTACTAGGGATCGAAGCCAAGACCTTTGGCAATGTTTGCAAACGCCTAATCTCTAAACCCAATGGATTCATTGACGAGACTATAATTTATGGACGATCTTTCAACGAAACTTAAATAACCTTAAGGAATATTGATCAATCAGAAAACAGTTAGTATAAAGTAAAAATATATTATACCGAACCCAAGAATTAAAGTAGATACACCTCTTTTACATGATTTAAAAACTTTTCAACGTAAGAAAGAGGTTCAGAGGTTCTAAAATCACAATGCATACAGTAGAGGAAATGATCCATATGGCTCCTTAATAGTCGGCCTCTAGAGCCATTATAAGGTCGCATAAACACTTTCAGCCGCGACCATATAGCTTCAATATTGTTTGTGTGCACTCTAGTTGTTGGGTTCACAAAATGCCACTTGTGTATAACGATCCGATGCATACAACCAAGTTTATACAGGCATCTGTACGCTCTCCAGTCATCCGTATATATTGTAGTGCCTGGCTGCAGCTAGTGTTAGTGGTGCTTTTGTTATCCAGTTCACAACACTTGTCATAATTTGCCTTAGTCTCAATGTGGATGGAGCGAAATTTTTTTATTCTAACAGACTTCTTCCTCTAACACATATTACATCGAATGACTACATCATCACGGTAGTCTGTACAAGGTCTACAAGCCATTTGATTACCGTAATCTTAAGTGAAAGAACTTCTCGGTAGTATCATTTCTTGTAGTCGCTCATTTATCACGTTTTGTCTAAAATCCTCTGTGAACAGATTGTACGTTAGTATCAGGTACTGAAATTAACACCATGACCTTAAAATCCCTCAAATGTTTCTGGTTAAGTTTTTGATTGAGATCATGAACCGATTGATGTTAGAACACTGTTGGAAAACTAGAAGCACTGGACGACCGTTTCGTCCTATTGTGAGATTCCTTAGCAGTGTACATCCACGATACCGCCCAAAGGATTCGAACCAAGGGCCTTTGATCTCGCGTGTGAACGCCTGTCCTATAGGACACTGAGCCGACATACAACGGTGTTACTATCTGACCTCAACCAAACAAAAAATTTGCGCGACCATCTTCCATTGTATTAAAGTAGATACCTTTCTCAATCTGACAGGGATTAGCTTTACTGGTCACGGCTTCTCACTAGAAGCTCGAGAATTCCCTCACGAAGCTATCCATCAGTGGGCGTATGGTAATTATCAGTATTGAGTTGTGAAGACATGAGTCTACCTCAGTACAACAGAAGATGGTTGCGCGATTTCGTGGATTAGTTGAGGTTAGACATTAACGCCAAGTGGTGACGACTCAATGTCCTGGAGCTTTGGCATTTGCGCGTGAGGACGATAGGTCTCGAGTTCGAACCCCGCAAGTGGGATCGTGGATGCGCACTGCTGAGGATTCCCACAATAGGACGAAACAGTCAACCAGTGCCTTCAGGTTTCCAATAGTGGTCTAACAACAATTGGTTGATGATCTTAATCAAAAAATAAATTTATCTGATTAGTGTTCTTTTAAGTTAACTGTCCAAAAGCACATTTGACTTTGTACATTCTCATCTTTTCATGAAGATATTAGATCGACACTTCTTCAAGTTCAGAATCTCTTTTTCAATATTTCCAAGCTTACATAGAAACTAACATCTAATTGAATGGAACTATTCTCTTCAAGATTTTATTTTCATCAATAAAAGTCAACATAGTCTAATAATTACTCAAATTTCCCCCCCCCCTTGATTCCTTAATTACATATAACTAATCAGATCGTGTATTTATTGTACATAACATAGATCATTCACTGAATCTTTACTGAACATAAATGCAAATGATTAAGCCTATAATTAAAGGGAATCAATCCTCTTATCTATAAATTACAAGTGTGCCTAATTATCTCAACATTTTTTTCCTGTTATCCGTCTTCTAGTAACGACTGTTTGCATTAATGAAATCTCACTGTTAGACAGTGAGTCAGTTAGTCAGCTACAACGTAGGACAAGCATATATATATATATATATATATATATATATATATACGTCGGTTCAAGTTTCTATACCTCAAAATCCCATTATATTATAGTGAATACAAGTCTCATATACATATACAATTCAGTATACAGCTGAAAGTATTTGAAATTAAAAAAAAGAAGATATACAAATACAAATTCAATTAGCTGCAAAACATCATCTCAGAAATGATTATACCAAAATCAATATAATTTATCTGTTGATTGATAGTTTAACTTTCGAACAAAACTACACCATATAGATTACATCATTGATTCAATTACTAAATCATATGATGTAAAAACAAATCAATGAAACGTTTACATAAATAAGGAGTAGTATGGATAAAAATAAGGGTAGCAGAAGTAGTAGTAGTAGTAGTAGTAGTAGTAGTAGTAGTAGTAGTAGTAGTAGTAGTAGTAGTAGTAGTAGTAGTAGTAGTAGTAGTAGTAGTAGTAGTAGTAGTAGTAGTAGTAGTAGTAGTAGTAGTAGTAGTAGTAGTAGTAGTAGTAGTAGTAGTAGTAGTAGTAGTAGTAGTAGTAGTAGTAGTAGTAGTAGTAGTAGTAGTAGTAGTAGTAGTAGTAGTAGTAGTAGTAGTAGTAGTAGTAGTAGTAGTAGTAGTAGTAGTAGTAGTAGTAGTAGTAGTAGTAGTAGTAGTAGTAGTAGTAGTAGTAGTAGTAGTAGTAGTAGTAGTAGTAGTAGTAGTAGTAGTAGTAGTAGTAGTAGTAGTAGTAGTAGTAGTAGTAGTAGTAGTAGTAGTAGTAGTAGTAGTAGTAGTAGTAGTAGTAGTAGTAGTAGTAGTAGTAGTAGTAGTAGTAGTAGTAGTAGTAGTAGTAGTAGTAGTAGTAGTAGTAGTAGTAGTAGTAGTAGTAGTAGTAGTAGTAGTAGTAGTAGTAGTAGTAGTAGTAGTAGTAGTAGTAGTAGTAGTAGTAGTAGTAGTAGTAGTAGTAGTAGTAGTAGTAGTAGTAGTAGTAGTAGTAGTAGTAGTAGTAGTAGTAGTAGTAGTAGTAGTAGTAGTAGTAGTAGTAGTAGTAGTAGTAGTAGTAGTAGTAGTAGTAGTAGTAGTAGTAGTAGTAGTAGTAGTAGTAGTAGTAGTAGTAGTAGTAGTAGTAGTAGTAGTAGTAGTAGTAGTAGTAGTAGTAGTAGTAGTAGTAGTAGTAGTAGTAGTAGTAGTAGTAGTAGTAGTAGTAGTAGTAGTAGTAGTAGTAGTAGTAGTAGTAGTAGTAGTAGTAGTAGTAGTAGTAGTAGTAGTAGTAGTAGTAGTAGTAGTAGTAGTAGTAGTAGTAGTAGTAGTAGTAGTAGTAGTAGTAGTAGTAGTAGTAGTAGTAGTAGTAGTAGTAGTAGTAGTAGTAGTAGTAGTAGTAGTAGTAGTAGTAGTAGTAGTAGTAGTAGTAGTAGTAGTAGTAGTAGTAGTAGTAGTAGTAGTAGTAGTAGTAGTAGTAGTAGTAGTAGTAGTAGTAGTAGTAGTAGTAGTAGTAGTAGTAGTAGTAGTAGTAGTAGTAGTAGTGAACATAATATTGTAGTATGGTACTTATAAGGACACATATAAGTAGTATGTAGCAATAAATAAAATTTGGACGTTTATCAGTAAGAGATTGAAATAAAGAGAAGAAGAAAGAAAACAGAGAGAAATTGAAATAACAACAAAATTAGAAGAATGATGGAGTATGTAAAAGATAAATGAAAGGAGGTGTTTAACTGGTGTCTTGAATGTATGATTTTCATATTTTACAAAGCTATTGATTACCGTTGCATGAAACAATAAGGTGTCATTCTTCACCAGTCCTTTTTTCACTATGGTAATAGTCGTAATACATTCTGGTGTAAAAATTCTGTTAAATTTATAAACAGCAAAAGGAAAGCCAATATTCATCAATAGAAATTTGGCAAAATCGGTATAATAACAGGATTTTTTGAAAATTCTCTGTTTTCAACCATATGAATGTGTAACTTGTTGTGACAGTGGAGAAGATTTGTACCTCAGGCAACTGGTTTTGATGGAGTTTTGTTCTTTGAGCAGGTGGGTTTGGTCATGAAGTTTTCATTCTTCCTCTGAAAGGCATCATCAGCACAAACTCTAGGTGAATATTGAAGTGAGATTTTCAGTTAGAACTTCATGAAGAATCCCGAACATTCACCGCATTTCTGTTTTTTTTCCGTTGAGTAATGCTACAGTGTGATTGAACAGCACTCCAATCACTCTTGATGCAAAACTCTGGAAGATGTAGAATGCTTCACATACCTGGGAAGCATCATCGATGAACAAGGAGGCTCACATGCAGACGTAAAAGCAAGGGTCGCATTCCTACAAATGAAGAACATATGGAACTCAAAACAGGTGTCAACCAATTCCAAAGTGAGAATCTTCAATACCAACGTCAAGGCAGTTCTACTGTATAGAGCTGAAACTTGGAGAACTACAACAACCACCATCAAGAAGGTGCAAGTAGTTATAAATAGTTGTCTATGCAAAATATGCGATTTCCGTTGACTGGATAGCATCAGCAACAGCCCTCTCTGAGACAGAACAAACCAGCTTCCAGCTAGAGAAGAAATTAGGAAAAGATGATGGAAATGGATAAGACATACACTAAGCGAATCGTCAAACTGCATCACCAGGCAAGCCCTAACTCGGAATCGTGAAATGAATTGGAAAAGAGAAATGTCAAAGAACACATTACGTCGGGAAATAGAAACAGATATGAAAAGGATGAATAACAACTGGAAGGAGCTGGAAAAAATTGCCCAGGACAAGGCTGAATGGAGAATGCTGGTAAGAGGCCTATGCTCCTTCACGAGGAGTAACAGGAGTAAGTAAGTAAGTAATGCTACAGTGTACATGTTCATAATAGACATTTACGGGTAGCTCTGGATGTTTGATTGGAGAGCACAACCGAAAATCACACTTCGAAATTCAGCACTCACCTTTTAAATGAACAGGAAATTTATTAAAAATAATTAGATAAACACACTTACTGAATATTGACTACACTGAAGATACGCTAAGTCATTTAAAGTCTTCTAAAACTGTACGATTCTAAAACTGTACTCTAATTTAAAGTTGACAGGAATATCAATTCAACCTTGTTTTCAAAATGAGTTTGATCAAGGGAAAGTAAAGGGTATTTAGATGTGCACGAGTGACGTTGATATTCTAGAGACTTCATTATGTATAAATAGAAGTTTACTAATTAAGGGATTATGAGAAACCTTATCATTTTACATTTACGACCTCATGAAAGGAAAGAGTTCAGAATCTATAGATCTTACAACGAGGATATAACATTTCAACTATTGACTAAGCAAACAATAGCATCCATATCTAATTTCAATCGATTCATCATATTGCGTAACTATCTTCGAATATTTTTCGTGTCACATGTCTGAACTTCAGTGAAACTCAGAAAATCTCACACACAGTTATCTCTTCCATTTCTGTATTTGTTTTCAGAATAGTTAGGTAGACATCTATTCCTATACTTTATTACGGTAAATAATCATTGGAAAATGTTTGCATTTAAAGGATATATATTTGTTAATTCTATATCATCAGAATAGTTGAATTCATGAGTCGATTTAAGTTAAATCACCATAGAAAACCTAAAAACAATGGACTGCCATTTCTTTGTAGCTTGAGACTCTTCAGTAGTGCGCATCCACGATCCCAATCCAAAGAGACTCGACCCTACGATATCCGGTCTCACGCGTGAACACTTTATCTCTAGAGCACTGAGCTGACATTCAAAGGTACTAATGTCTGACTTCAATCAATCCACGACATTGCACCACTGTCCACCACCGTCTTCAGTGAGTAACTGCCTCATAACAGACACGGTTCGACTCCGCTTATCACGGCTCTGTAATGTCGCGGATTGCCTCAACATTGCACGTACATCCACTTGACGAGTCCCCTATAGGACGAAACGTGCGTCATGGTTTCCACTGCTAGCCACCATCCATCTTTGCTTATAACGCTTTTGGATTAAGGCAATATCGAAGCGATCCGTATAGGATGTACATATTATTATTATTATTATTATTATTATTATTATTATTATTATTATTAATGCCGATAGAGGATGATTAATTGCAGTTATAAACATCAATGGGAAGATTCAAACAAACAATACAAAAACGAATTAAAACTTGACTCAATTGTAAAAGCAAGTGACGATCTGAAAGATAGCTAAGTGGATAACATGATGGTGTTTGAAGTGAACGGTACTGGGTTCGAGTTCCAGAGTGAATATAAACTCCTTGATGCAGGTACATCCAGTTGGTGAACCCGAAATAGAACGAAACGCGCGTCCTGGATTCCATTGCTAGCTACCATCAATCTTTGCTTACAATACATCAAACAAGGTTTCCATTTGATCATCTTCAGCCATTGAATAAACTATTTCAATCGCAAAGTAGTTCTCAATACGGATCAACTTAAATTTCAACCTAATTATCAGAGATTTACTGGAGATTATTATGCAATACTATTTGATCAATTAATCCAAAGAATTCTGCATGTATTTTCCTTAATACCTGAAGATAATGGATTTGATACTTAGAAGAACATCGATTGTTCACTGATATGAATTTAAAAATTAATCGATAAAGAACCTCTTGCGCAACCGTTCATCCATTGTCTCAGGTAGATACCTATCTCTACTCAACACGGATTAAACTCCACTAGTAACAGCTTCTCATTAGAACTCCAAGAAATCCATTTTGAAGCTAGTCACTAGTTAGTGCATGATGATTATTATTAGAATAGGGGTTTTGTGGTAATTGTAATAGTTAAATTCATTAGTCCATCTAAGCTAGGCTACCGTTGAAAACCTTGAAACATTAGACGGTCGTCTTGTCCTAGTATGGGACATCAACACCATCAGATATCGGATAAATGATCAGGACGTTAGGTGCTTGCACGCGAGACCGATGATCCCGGATGCAGGATATTAGTTATGCACTGGTGAGGAGTTCTATACTAGAACGAGACGTTCTTCAAATGATTCCAAGTCTTTAATGATGGCCTATTTTAAATCGACTCATGTGTTTCACTATTACAATTACGACAACCTCGACAAAACCCCTATTGTAATGAAGAAGATATCATGAATACTTTATATTGATTCCATAATAACAGTCATTTAAAAAGAAATACAAGAAAACAGTCTCATCAATTTCATGAATTTATCAACAATAACTCATACAAAATGAATTAATAAACAACCATACAGAATACATCTAGACAAAAATTTTCTTCCGTCTATATCAAAACAAAAAAAAGAACAAACAAACAAATCAATAACAAACATTATTGAGATCATGGACCGATTGATGTTAGACTAGCATTGAAAACCTGGAAGCATCAGACGGCTGATTTGTCCTATTGTGAGAATCCATAGAAGTGCACATCCACGATCCCGCTCAATGGATTCGAACACAGATCCTTCGGTCTCGCGCGTGAACGCCTAATCTCTAGACTACTGAGCCAGCATCCAACTGTGTTAATGTCTAACCTCAACTAATCCAAGAAATTGCACGATCATCTTCCATTGTACTAAGGTAGATAGCTGTCTCTATCCGACACAGATTAGCTCCACTGATAACGGTTTGTCACTAGAACTTCGAGAAATCCCTCACGAAGCTATTCACTAGTGAGCGCATAGTCTAATGTTTTCAGGTTTTCATTGATGGTCTAACATCAATCGTTTCATGATCACTACAACTCTATACTGATAATAACCATTTTATCATGTAACGAACTAACTCACTTACCGATAATAAATAATGATTCGAATCAGTTAATTTATTCAAATTGATTACATCATCATATGAATTATTGATTGAATATTGACGTGTATTTAAATATTTTTTTGATTTATTAATATGTTTAAGGAAATTAAATCCATCATTTAATCGATTATGATTAATAGTATTATTATTATTATTGTTACTATGGTTACTAATATTATGTATATTATTTCGTACATGTATAATAGGTGATTGGCAATGAATTGATTTAGAATATCGATTTTTTAAATTTGAATTCTCAAACGATTCCTTACTCATATTATTACTATTATTAGTAGTAGTGGTAATAGTAGTAGTAGTAGCAGTAGTAGTAGTAGTATTGATAGTACAATTATTGACCGATGAAACACTTGCTCCATAATTCTGCATTGTACGCAATTTGGATGGAATTGAATAGGTATCTATAGAAGTATCCAATTTCGATGTAGTCTGTTTTAAGAATTGATGATTTCTTCTATCATTTGTAACATTTAATATATCGAATAATTTATTATGAGATAGATAAACATTATTAGATTTAGATTTATTATGTTTATATGGTTTATCAATCAGATAATAATGAGTAGTATTGTTAGTAGTATTACTAGTAGTATTATATAGATCATATGAATGTTTTGTATGATAATTGTAATCTCTTTCAGATGAGATACTATTTGATTGTTGTAGAGGTGGTGGTGGTGCTTTACTTCTTGGAGATACATGTCTTAATGACATGATCGGCATATATAGATAGGCTTCCGTAAGTATATATATATACAACTATTTACTGAAATCAGTAGTATGTTACTCAATGTTGAAATGAGCGAGTTGATTTCATCGGATTCGAATAATATTTAAAGAAAGAAAGGGTCAAAAAACATGGATATGGATACATCATTGTATCTAAGCTACTAAGTAATTTATTACTTTAAATAAGACAATGAATGAATGAATGAATCGAAAGCAAAAAAAACAAACAAAACAAACAAAATTGAACTTTGAACAACTTTCTTATCAAAATTCATGTCACTATTTTGCATAAAATTGATTCTAGTTTAAATGATGATGATGATGATAATGATGAGTATGATCAAACCAATAGAAACCATTCATCTATTCATAAATATAAAAATAGATAAACACACTCACCCTAGTAAATTTAGTTGTCAATGGTGCATTATTAGTTCATAGGAGTTGTTTATTTGTTTATACTTTTGATTGTTTGTTTGTTTGTTTGTTTACTCAATGATAGATTTATTTGTATAGGTGTATTGTATAGATAGATCCCTAATCTATTATGTTTGTATTGAATGAAATGAATCGATGCAATAGACAATTGTGTTTAAGTTTTTCTTTTTTGTGTGTGTTATCTTCACTTTTGATTCAATTATTTAATAATAAGTTATAAGAGATTGAAAAACCTCAAGCAATGTATGGAATTTGGGGGACTATTTTTCATCGCACTGACGTAGATACCTGTCTTCATAACCTTATACTGATAATTACTATGTGCTCATAAGTGACTAGCTTTGTAAGAAAATTCTCGGAGTTCTAGTGAAAAACCGTGATCAGTGGAGCTAATCCGTGTCAAGTAGAGACAGGTATCTACCTTAGTACAATGGAACTTGATTGCGCAATTTCGTAGATTCGTTGAGGTTAGACATTAACACGCTTGGATGATGGCTCAGTAGCCTAGAGGTTAAGCGTTCGCTCGTGAGATTGAAGGGCCTGTGTTCGAATCTCTTAAGCGTGATCGTGGACGTGCACTGCTGAAGAGTCTCGCGAAAGGACGAAACGGACGTCCATCGCTTCCAGGTTTTCAATGCTAGTCCAACATCAATCAGTTGTGTGTTATCTTCACTTTCGATTCAACTACTTAATAATAAGCGAGAAACTATAATTTATGAGTGAACCAATCAGATATAAGATAACAGGTCTCCGATTATGGCGCGAAATTCATTCATTCAGATAAATAGAGTTTTTACATTAAAGCTGATGTCAGTTCGTAATGAAAACCCTAAATCTAATTTCTGACCCTAACCATCAACTGTAAATCATAATTCTAATTCTTCACGCAGGTTTATAAACCTCATTCGGTCCTGGTTATTAGATGGACACTATCAAGGTCAGTCGCCCATAGGTCGTCCTTAGATTACAGTCTCACCAATAATTAGTTGTAAGAGAGTGAACATCAAAATGCCGTAACTACCATGCAACAAACAATTTGAATATAAAAGTTTCATTAGTTTATTTCATGCATAACTAGGAAGTAGTGGATAGCTGTTTCCTTCTAGGCATGTATTTGCTTATTAGCGTCCATGTATTACATCACGGGACTGTCAGTATCGACGCAAGTACTTGAACTCTAGATCTATGATTCGAGATTGAATGGTGCGCGCAACCATCTCTTATTTCCCATGGTGACTATGAAGAATTCCTATGGTTTTGCTGAGAAGTTGTAACTGAGTAGGTTTAAAGATTTTCTGAATGAAAAAGTACTCACTGACAACAATCGATGACGGTAGCTTGATGTTCTGAATTAATTTAAAGTTGAAAATATGAGACAATAGATTTTAACCAAATAATCTCCAAGTAACTGATCATGATCAATACCCTCTTACCCTTAAAGGGTGACAAATATGCGCATTGTCAAAGATTCTACTACGAAGACAAAAGATAACACTAGGTGACTGAAGTGGTTAGACCTAAGTTTCCTGCTAGTTAACACTCGTCAGCAATGAATTCGTCTGGGAATAGTAAATTTCAAATACTTCAGTTTTATGTGAGGTCACTCGTGGTCCAGAACTCAAACTGAGAGCTGGATGACCCTTATTCGAATTTCACAAAATGTGAATTATATTGTTGGGCACTAACTTGTAGTAAACTTAAGATTATCGGCGTTTCCTATCAACTATCTTTCAACCAGCTAACATTTAAACATAAAGCACGCGATATCCAGTCATTTAGATTATTGGCCACATTTCACCGTGATCAAAGGAATTTGATCAACACTAGACAAATATGATTTTGGACTCTAATCAGTAGTCAGTCAATGATCAGTTCAATGATTGTTTGACTGAAGTTAGTTCATGATTTTAACAATCTTTATGTCGAATTGAAACCATAGAATACTTACTTCCTTACGTCTGTTAATTTTTATGGAGTATAAACCTCTGACCAGTATTCTCCAACTCACACTGTCCGCGGCCTTCCTTTCCAATTCTATCCAAATATTGTTCATTCTTCTAATGTCAGTTTCCATTTCTCGACTCAATGTGTTCTTTGGTCTTCCTTTTCCCTTTTGACCTTGAGAATTCCAAGTGATGAAAGCTCGCCTTGTGACACAGTTGGATGCTTTCCTCAATGTGTGTCCTATTCAATCCCTGTGCTTATTCCTAATTTCTTCTTGTTCTGAGATCTGGTTTTCTCTCTCCCATAGTAGATTGTTGCTTTTAGTGTCCGGTCAACGGATCCGAAGTATTTAGCGTAGACTACTGTTAATAAACACTTGTATCTTCTGAATGATGACTTTCGTAGTTCTCCAGGTTTCCGTCCCATACACTTGAACGACCTTGACATTTGTATTAAAGATTGTGACTTTGGTGTTGATTGTAAGTTGCTTCGAGTTGCAGATGTTCTTAAGTAGTAGATATGCTGCTCTTGTTTTGCCAATCCGCGCCTTCACATCAACATCAAATTCACTGTGTTCATCAATGATCCTGCCCAAATATGTAAAGGTGTTTACATCTTCCAAATCTTCTCCATCAATTATGATTCGATTGATGCATGCTGTGTTTTATCGGAGAATCTTGGTTTTCCCTTTGTGTATGTTGAGACCTACTGCTACTGAGGCTGCTGATACACTGGTCGTTTGCTCTTACATTTGTTGTTGCATGTGCGATAGAAGAGTCAAATCATCTGTGAAGTCTATATCGTCCAGCTGCATCCTAGCTGTCCACTGTATCCAATGTTTCCTTTGAGATGTTGGGCATCGTGGTTTCAGCCTGTAATCTAGCTACTAAGAGTTCAGGGTGCGGGATTTCGTGGGATCGAAAGTTCTGGCATATGAGTACTCATATTGATCGGGTATCCAGGCTAAGCATGACACCGACATGGATGACCTGTCGGAAGGCGAGCTGGAATCATACAATACATCGAATTGAATAAAATATCTTTTATCAAAATATTTTAATGATCGATAAAGTAAGTGTACCTACTGATGAAATGATTATGATTATGAAATAACAAAATCACTAAATAATATAAACTTATTCACATTAGATTTAGTACAAATTGTTGATCAGAAGGGACATATAACATTCTTATTTATGTACCAGCATTTCACAGCATGAAAGTTGTTTTTGTACAGTTTATTCTTTGTAAATAGATAGTCCTCTAATTCTAATAGGCTTAATGAGAATAAAAGTGAATAGAGATAAATCAAATTTGATTTCTTCAAAAGAAAAATAATTGATTTTATGATTCAACTTTTAATTCAGGTCTCAGATAATATTGTTACAAGAAGAAGAAGATGATGAAGAAGGATTGAATACCTCCAGGAATGGCTTCAACGCTATGCTTTTATTTCAAGAAATCATCTATTTATACAGATAAATCGATTAAATTCAAGCTGAAACAAAGATGGATGGTGGCAGGCAGTGGAATCCAGTTTGAGGCACGTTTATTCTTATTTGGGACTCGTCAGATGGATGTACCACAGAATTGATGTTCTTTCCGGAACTTGAACTCAGTACCGTTCGCCTCAAACGCCATTTACCTACTGATTCTTGATAGCCACCTGCTTGTGCAATGAGGTGAAGTCTAAATTTCCTTGGTGTTGTTTTGTTTGTTGATTAGTCTTGCGGATTGAACGCTATATTCGTCTCCTAAGCTATTTTGTAACCCCCAAGTTAGAACTATACAGAGACCTGAACACGAGAGAGAAGACTAAAAGTATGCAAGTAACAGTTTACTCCAAAGTTCAGAAAATGCAGGGTTTTTACAATATTTTAAATGTCCCTGGGTTGCTAGACGATCTTGGAATGCTACTAAACATAGTAGCAGTGTAGCAATCAGCCAATCAGAACCTCTGCATGTGACTTTCCACTTCCTTGATATTTTTGGCTAAAACTTCAAGTGAATGCTGATTGGAATAAACGCTTCTCAGTGTTTCATGATGCTCGCTTGTCTTGTGCAAGCAATTTTCTGGATCATCCCAACAGTCGTATCTTCTTATTGTTATGTAGGACTACCATTGACTAATCTCATGTCGGTGTATGTGCATCGTGTGTAGATTCCCTAAGTAAGGCGACACGCGAGTCAAACTGGATTACATTGCTAGCTTCTATCCATCTTTGTTTAGAAAGCTTGTTACTTAAGTCTATATCGAGCCAATCTGCACAGGATGCACATATGCCAATAAGAGACCGATCAATTGCAGTCCTAAATAACAATTGGAAGATACACGTAAAACAACACCATGTGAATTCAAGCTGAAACAGTTTGAATCATATGATTGTTGATATTTTTGACTGAAATTGAATCAGCCTTGGTTGACATATGTGCATCTTTTATGGATGGTCTCGATACAGACCGGATATAGTCTTGGAGGGGACATCGACTGTGCGATGCAGGTACATCTAGCTGATGATTCTCAAATAGGAAGAAAACAATATCATGTATTCAACTGTTAGACTCGTTCCATCTATGCTCTATCAACACAAGTGAAGTTAAGGTAGAAGACGAACAGATTTATAGATCGATTTCATGCCATACACATTATCACTTATTGCCTAATCTCTCTCTAAACGCTTGTTTATTTATCAATTGTGTTTATATTGGTTAACAGTAATAAATTAATCAGTTTATAAATGATTATCTAATAATTCAT